TTTACTGTAATATGCAGTAAATATACTCAATGCTTGAATGCCTGACATCACGTAACCCGCTCAGGGTAACCTTTGACCCACCTTGTGTGGACTGACCAATGAGGAGAGGGTCTTAACTTGAGGCCCTCTCTTCATTGGTCAGTCTGCATGAGACTGACTCTCAACTGACGTTCAAAGTCATAGGCAGCGAAGCGTCTCTGTGCAGCGCAAAAGCCCGGGTGGACAGTTTGTTTAATATAGGGTGATCATATTTCCATTTCCAAACAAGAGGACAGGGGATCTGTGCCTATGTTGTCACACTATGGCAACGCCACACAAACCACGCTGGGACCCATTTTTTTGTAAGAACTAAATTAATATCAGATTCTGCCAATAAAAGGGCTCTAAAACAATTCATATGTAAATATTTAGCATATTTATTGCAAAATCTCATTTTTCTGCTTTAGTGCTGCAACAAGGTTTTATTAATAATAAATTATTAAACCTTTTGTTTTACTACAGCATCAATAAGCTTCCTGTGCACAGATTATTAAGGGTGTTTGTTTCAGCTGTGAGATTAGACGATAGGATAAATGAAAAAATAAGTTGTCCCACACTCCATGGAAACTTTCAGAGAATCCACAAATAGTGGCTTTCAAATGGTTTTGTTACTTTTTGCAAGTTTAGAAAAGAAGCAGATGAGACAGCATGTCTGATCATTTAGTTCTTCATCTGATAATATTAGAACATGTCAGTAATGTCTGAGGAGCTTTTATAAACACTGTTTAACTAACACTACTGGAGAGGGTAACAATTACACAGAGGCTTCTGGGGAGCCCAGTTATGGGGTGGGTGGGTGGGGTCATTTTGCCTTGGCCCCCAAAATGTCTTGAAACGGCCCTGGGTGTGTGACTGAGTTTTGAAGGTGATCTGAATTGTATCAGATGTGTAAATATGACATGTGTATAACTTATTGCTTTATACAGGTAAAAATGTGTAGTGGAGATAAATCTACCTACATTTTACTTTTCAACACTTAGTTTTGTTTTCTTGTTTTTATTTAACTATTTTCCTGTCCTGTCTGTCTCTCATCTTCCTGCATCTCCTCTAAACTCTCCAGAAAAAACTGCTGCCAGGATTCTTACTTTTTCACCTCATCGGTTACTTCTGAGCAGATCAAAGGGATCTCCTGACCGCAAAGCGGAGTGCGCCTTTCGATGCTGCGTCAGTGAGGTGAAATCACCGCAGCACCGCGCAGCACAGGTGATGAGCTGCGCAGCAGCAGAGCGCTTCAGGAACAAATAAGACAGAAAATAGAGAACATGTGCGGACATGAATGATCGTGTGCTAATTATAGTTTTTTGGTTGCGCCACTTTGAGAATGGACCGTGCGCTGGAAGCAGCTGCCTGGAGCGCTGCGCAAGAACGCGCTGTGCCGCTCTCTGTGCTCTCTGCTCAGAAGAGTCCATAAATGATGTAATATAGATAGGAAACTTGTTTCCGGCTCCCCTGGATGTGTAAGATATACAGCTCCCCCATAATTCGATCCCTGCTCCTGGATGAAAAGCCGGACATTTTCATCAATACGACCGCGGACCCCCAGTCCGGACGCCCGGACAGAGAGTGAAAAGTGGACATGTCCGGGGAAAACCGGACATACGGTCGGTCACCCTAGTTTAATATAATGCGGGAGATTACAGACATGCCTACAGTATTTTGCTCGTGCGCTTGCTGCCCTGGGCCCCTTAGAGTTCGTGGGCCCTGGGCAATTGCCCAGTTGCCCATATGGTTAATCCGGCCTTGGGTAGCTAACTCCACTTTCTTCCCATACGATGACACAGTATACAAACAACTGGAAGGCTTCGCCATGGGTAACCCGTTATCAGCCACCCTGTGCGAGTTTTTCATGGAAGACCTAGAACAAAAAGCCGTATCCACTGCCCCCCCCAAACTGCAAAATAAAATTATGGAAACGCTACGTAGACGACATACTGGAAATCATACCAAAACGACAAAAATAAACACTAACACAACACTTGAATAACATTGACGACACAGGCAACATAAAGTTCACTTATGAGTCAGAAACAGAAGTAAGTATAGCATTTATGGACATGAAAATAAGCAGGCAGACCGATGGGACCCTAAACATAAACACACACAGGAAACCTACACACACAGACCAATAATTATTATGGACATCAGAACACCCCACCATACACAAAATGTCAGTAATCAGAACATTATATCACAAAGCAAGCATGGTAACAGAAGAAAGAGACCGTAAACAAGAGGACAAACACATACAACACGCTTTAAAGACCTGCGGATACCCGACATGGGCAATAAACAAAGGAAAACAACAAACAACAACAGAAAGAAAAGAACAACCAAAGCAAAGAACCAGAAACCCAGAAAGACATGAACCAAAACCAGTGATAACCCTACCATACATCAAAGGCATAACAGAAAAAATAAGAGCAACAATGAAAAAAACACAACATAAACACACCAACAAAACCATACACAACAGTTAGAAACAGACTAGTGCACCCAAAAGTTGATACCAGCTGGACTTAAATGCGGAGTCGTTTACGAAATCCCATTCAAACTCTGCTATAAAACATACATAGGAGAAACCGGACGCCAACTCAACACACGAACAATAGAACATAGAAAGGAGTGCGAGAAAGAAACAAGTCGAAGACACACAAGAGCAGCAAAACAAGAAGCAGAAAGCACAATAAAGAAGTCAGACATAACAGATCACTGCACAAACCATGCAATGGACTGGGACAACACAAGGATCATAAACACCGAACAGGACTACAAAATATGGAAAATGGAAGCTATAGAGATAAGGAGACGTGGATGCAGGACCATGAACAGAGACGATGGGGTCTACACATTGGATTGTGCGTGGGACTGCATCATTGGAGAGGGGAGAGCGGGCAGCAGAGGGCGACAACATCCTCTGCTGCCTGCAGATAAACGGAGTAGGAAGTGACGCCACTATCAGCGTCAGCTCTGAGGATGTTTTGCAGTCGGCAAACGAAACTGTCAGCAAGGTGAAGAGAAACCTTTCCTGTGTTTTTAAAAAGAACCAAAATGGAACGAGTGCAGACAGTTTGAAAGGGAACCATAGATTCTGCTCCAAGACTCAGCTATGGGGCTTTGTCATTTAGTTCTGGCCAAACTACATATAGTAGTAGTTTGGCCAGCACTACTACCAAGATTTTCAGGTGACACTCTGGGTTTCTAAATCCAGTCTCCATCTGGAATCGTCTCTAATAAAGCTGATGTGATCTGCTCCCCTTTGATCCTGCTTTAATATAACTGTTAACCTTAGTAATAATCATGTTGATTGGTGTGCATATAAGAAACTGAAAAACCAGTGCACTACTCAAACCAGGAATGCCAAAGCAGATATTATACTAACAGCCTGAATAATGATTTTAACAACCCTAAGAAATTCTGGAGCACAATTAATCCATGAGGGACATCTGATACTACACTAACTAGTGTGAGAGTTGATAATACTCTTACCAGTAAGAGTGCAATTTAACCAACTATCCAACTCCTTAAAGCTGGGTGTCAAGCAGGTAAGCATTGTGTCCAATTTTTATAAAATCTTTGGTATGACCCGACTGGGAATTGAACTCCAATCGCTCAGTCCCAGGGCAGACAATCTACCACTAGGCATTGTCCTTGTCCTCTACCAATGTCTCTGGTCCAGATGGTATAGAGCAGGTCTGGGTCATTACCTGCTCCTAGACAAACTATATTTGTTTGGTTCGTCAAGAACTTCTATACTTTGTTTCAATTAATTTTTTCATAATCATTCTCAAATTGTTGCTTTTAATGTGGCCCAGTCTAGACAACGGGGAGTTGTGAGAGGCGTTCCTCAAGGATCTTCCTTGGGACCTCTCTCATTTTCAATCATGCTTTGACTTTTGTGTAAGAAAGCGTATCGTCACTCAATTTTTGTTTCCACTGTTAGATTATGCTGATATAATCTGTCAGACTTCCACTGCCTCCTCTTCTCATTTTATTGATATTCTTTACAACAGTGTATGTTGTCCATTTTGAAATCACCACTCTCATATCATCGTCTGTCTTGGCCCTCGGCTGAAGCTACGCAGAAACTTCACAAGTTGCTATTTATTTTAGTTTTCTATCTTATTTATCCATTTTGCTAATACCATTCTGGTCTCATTACAACATTCATAGAACTCATCAGATTTAATTTGTGATCGCTCATTTTAAAAGAAGTCAGGGAAGCTGGCTTTTCTAACAAAGCTCCGATGGATTGGAACAATTTACCTGCTGATTTAAGGTCTATCACATCTTTTTAGTCAATTTAAAACTTCAGTCTATGAAGATATAATGCCAACTTGTGACTGTTTCTGACTCCCTTTGTGGTTCATATTTATGCATTTGCATTAACTCTTACTTTAACCTGATATTTATCTGTGCTATGTGTTGTCTGCTCTGAATGTATTGAGTTGTTGTGCCGTTTGTATGTTTATGTATACATGTGTATCGGAGATCCTTTTTTTTCGCTCTCTCACCTATTTGATTTGATTGTTCATTTGTTAGTTACTTTGTTTTGTTGCCCCATTGATTTTACGTTCACATGTAGAACGTTATTTATGTTATTTTGGTCTTTTTATTCTCACAGTAAATTTCTATGGAGGACCAAATTTAAAAAGAGATGATTAATCTCAAGTGTTTCTCGCCCTCCCAAAATATGAGTGTATAAATAAATATGCACTCATATTGATGCATTAATGCTTCATCATGTGTCCTGTTTAGGAACAGGAATTATGTCCACATCATTAAGTTTCCCAGCATGCCCACCAAGTGTCTCCAGCAGACCCAGAACTATAAAAACCTGTGTACGCCAGACATTAAATAGGTGTGGAGCTGAGAACATTTCCATGCTCAGTTCATATTTGATAAATCTGGATTTTGTGCATGCAAACACTTAATACATGAAGCACCTGGACAGGTGTTGTTACCTGGACAGCTTAGTGCCTCCTTGGCTGTAATGCTCCTGTTGCAGGATGAGCAGAGCGTGGTAGCAGACACGCTAAGTGAGGTAAACAAGTGACCGTTGCTGGAGCGTGCCTCTCGCTCTCGCGCCTCTTTCTCGCGCTCCTTCAGTCGTTCCTTCTCCTTATTCTGAACACAAAAGAACAAAGTATATTTTTAATCACCTTCCTTCACTCTAAAGCTGGTCACACCTTTTTATAGTGGAGACGAATGCTGAAACTGTTTTTCATTCCTATCTAGAAACATGTCACCTGCTCCAGGTAAGACAGAAACACTGAAAGAAATAGACCATAATGCATTGCAGCCTGATCCAGCTAACACACCATGCTAATAGCTGATTAATAATCAGCTAACAGCTGATTATGAAATTATTTTCTGACTGGTTGTTGATCCTTTGATAGCTTTCTGAGCTGTAAAGGACCTCATTTCCTCTTTTGCAAAAGTAATCAAATGTGAGTGAGTGAGTGAGTGAGTGAGTGAGTGAGTGAGTGAGTGAGTGAGTGAGTGAGTGAACATTTTGAACACACCCAAGAAGTCAAAGTAGTTGGCATCCTGATCAGATCAATTTGTTTATTATCTAAAAAGTTAGGACCAACCAACAGACTCATAATTCAGGACACAACCAACTGCCCCACCAACATGGGCACACTTATGAACCACCAATAGGCACATGTCTATGGCCCACCAATCAGGACAAATCCACAATCCACCAATGAGGTCAAACTTACGACCCACCAATCAGGACACACCAACTAACCCCCCAATAAGGACTAACCTCTGACCCACCAATCAGGACACACCAATATGGACACACTTGTGACCCACCAATCAAGACACACCTACAGCCCACCAATCAGGACTCACCAATTGCTCAACCAATCAGGACACACCTACTCCCCACTGATTGGGACACACCTTTGATCCACCAATATGAATAAACCTACAACACACCATTCAGGACAAATCTATGGCCCATGAATCAGGACACACCAACTCACCCACCAATATGGAAACACCTATGGTCCAGTCAGGAGGACACACCTATGACCCACCAATGAAGACAGACCATTTAAACCACCAATCAGGACACACCTATGAACCCACCTATCAGGAAACACCCACAGACCCACTGATCAGGACACACCTATGACTCACAAACCAAGACAAACCAAGTATTCAATTTATTTGTAGTTTTATATATTTTTCTTCAGTCAGTTTGTTGGTTAGGTAATCAGTGAGTCGGTCGGTTAATCAGTAGGTCAGTTAGATAATTACAAAGCTATTGGTAAGTCAGTAAGCCAGCAAACCAGTTAGACAATCAGCTAGTGTTATGTGTTAGGTTGGCTCTGTCTGAACTTCTGCTTTTTGTGTTTTTCTGAACAGGAAGTGTGTGCGTGTGTGTGTGTGTACGTGTGTGTGTGTGTGCATGTACGTGTATAAGACTACATGTGCTAGTTTTGTAATGTAGGCAGTCTCTAATCAGGCTCCACCTCCTGGTTCCAGTCTAGTCTGGACTTTAGAGGATATTCATCACCAGCAGCTTCCTTCCTCTTTCCAGAACATCTTACAGCAAATTAAAAGATGCAGCTCCAACTGGTGTCCAGAGCCACTGAGTCTTTATTTTATGGCTTTATTTCTCAGCAGCTTTGAACTAGTTGAACCAAAAGTCATTGTTCATCTCTCATAAAACCCAACTAGACCAGCTTCTTAGATGGCCCAAATCTCAAAATGGAGCTGAAGGATCCTAGGATGCACTACACCAACTTCCAGATAACTACATGTTGTTACCAGAAAAAAATATTCCTAATGTGATATTTTCAGAAAGATTTGGAACAGTAAACCAATTAGAACCAACTTGAACTGACAATCAAAATGTGTTAGAACCAATCAGAACCAATCACCACCATGCTGTTCAGCAAACTAGTGACAGTCAGGAATCAGCTGATCAATAAATAAAGAGCTCAGTGATGATGAAGAAGAAAGAGGACTCTGTCTGCCTTTGTGTGTGTGTGTGTGTGTGTGTGTGTGTGTGCGTGCGTGCGTGCGTGCGTGCGTGTGTGTGTGTGGTGTGTGTGTGTGTGTGTGTGTGTGTGTGTGTGTGTGTGGAGGGGGGGGGGGGGGTGTCATGAGACACAGACTGCAAGCAGGCAATCAAGCTGAAGTTGGAGTTTAGAGAAAGAACTGGATCAACAGGAATGAGAATCAACAGGTAACCTTATCTGATTCATCTTGGTCATGTGACTCCAAACCAGAACCAACAGACTGTAAAAAACAACCCTAACCCTGGATAAAAACCTTAACCCTGACCCTAACTTATCTTATTTGGATTAATGCTGTCCTGTACTTAAATGTGCCTCGGAAACACAAACAAATGGACACATTGAACAAATATGGTCTTTCTGAGACATTAGTCCTTTCTCTGGGTTCTGTAATGACGTTTTACGTTCACAGCTCTGCTTTTTCACAACCTGCCCCTGTAGGCGGGCTGAAGATTCTCTGCTGGAGCAGATCTACACGCCCACTCAGATTTCAGTACTCAAGTGACTGCAGAGGATGAGTTACTTCACAAACACATCCGAGAATAAAGTCATTTAGGTTCAGGGTGTAGTTTTTGAAACTTCCTTGAAGTGTCTACCCAGGCTGTGCTTTCACTCATCATCGACTACAAGAACCTGTTAGCATCATTCTGAAGTCTCGGGTCAGTGTAAAATGATCTCATGTCGGTGTAAACTGAATTCAGGTTAACGTGAGCTGGTCTCAGGTCTGTATAAATCACTCTCAGGTCTTTTTAAATTGGTCTTGGGTCTATGTTAACTGGTCTTGGGACAGTTTATATGTTCTATAAAATGGTCCCAAATCAGTGTAAACTGGTCTAAGGTCAATGTAAACTGGTCCCAGGTCTGTGTAACCTAGTCTTAGGTCAGATTAAACTGGTCTCAGGACAGTTTAAATGTTTACAGGTCTGTGTAAACTCGTCTCACATCAGTATAAACTGGTCCCAGATCTGTGTAAACTGATTCCAGGTCTGTGCAAAATGGTGCCAGGTCAGTTTAAACTGGTCTCAGGACATTTAAATGTTCCCAGCTCAGTGTAAACTGGTCCCAGGTCTATATAAACTGGTCCCAGGTCTGTGTAAACTGGTCTTATGTCAGTTTAAACTGGTCTCAGGTATGTGTAAACTGGTCCCAGGTCTGTGTAAACTGGTCTTATGTCAGTTTAATCTGGTCTCAGGAGTTTAAATGTTCCCAGCTCAGGTTTAAACTGGTCCCAGGTCTGTGTAAACTGGTCCCAGGTCTGTGTAAACTGGTCTGATATAAGTTTAAACTGGTCCCAGGTCTGTGTAAACTGGTCTTATGTCAATTTAAACTGGTCTCAGGACAGTTTAAATGTTCCCAGGTCTGTGTAAACTGGTCCCAGGTCTGTGTAAACTGGTCTTATATAAGTTTAAACTGGTCTCAGGTATGTGTAAACTGGTCCCAGTTCTGTGTAAACTGGTCTTATGTCAGTTTAAACTGGTCTCAGGACAGTTTAAATGTTCCCAGATCTGTGTAAACTCGTCTTACATCAGTGTTAACTGGTCTCAGGTCTGTGTAAACTGGTTCCAGGTCTGTGTAAACTGGTTCCAGGTATGTGTAAAAAAAAATGGTCCCAAGTCAGTTTAAACTGGTCTCAGGACAGTTTAAATGTTCCCAGCTCAGTGTAAACTGGTCTCAGGTCAGTGTAAACTGATCCCAGGTCTGTGTAAACTCATCTTACATCAGTGTAAACTGATCCCAGGTCTGTGTAAACTGATCCCAGGACTGTGTAAACCAGTCCCAGGTCAGTTTAAACTGGTCTCAGGATAGTTTAAATGGCCCAAGGTCAGTGTAAACTGGTCTCAGGTCTACAAACTGATCCTCTTGGCTTCTGCTGTGTTACTGTTTAATCAGAAATGAGCTATTGACTCAAGGTAATAAGAAAGATGACCTTTGATCAGATCAGACTGAATTAGCCTAACTGTTAATTAAACTTTGTCTGTGTGTGAACTGCTGATCACAAATCATCCTGAAAGGCTGTTTTATAATAAAGCTTCAATCAATATTTGAACACTCTGTGTAGGCTGAGGTCTGCTGTAACCTGCGGGTAACCATGACAACGGGAAGGATGCTCTAGCGATGCGTAGGAGTGTGAACATTTGGTCTGCCTTGTCTTCATCTGAGTGAAGAACACTCAAACATAAATTCCCACAATGCTTTGCACAATATCCATGTGACTTCAGCTGACAGTGACATCAGTGCTCAAAGTCAAGTAGAGAATGCTCACCTGATCTTAGTTCTTACAATCAGACTACGACCTTTATGTTTCAGTCATGTGACCAGTAAAAGTGAATGATTCTGTGAAGAGTAAAAATGTGTCTTAAAAGCCAAATCCAAATTCATGTACTCTTCATAGTTCTTCTGCTGCAATGTCTGAGTGTAAAACAGAAACAACAGTCAATAACAAATAATTAATTTGAATGAATAAATGGTAAATGGCCTGTATTTGTACAGCACCACATTCAGTCATTCACCCATTCACACACACATTCACACACTGTTGAGGATGAGCTATGATGTAGCCACAGTTGCCCTGGGGTGCACTGATGGAAGCGAGACTGCCAACACTGACGTTACTGGTCCCTCCGACCACCACCAGAAAGCAAAACGGTGAAGTGTCTTGCCCAAGGACACAACAGCAGCATTCTCTGATTTCCACTCTGATTTAACATTTACATTTGTTCAGTTTACTCAGACCTTTGCATCTGAAATTTAGAACCTGCTAATCTGACTGACATGGGTGCCTCCTTAAGTAATAGGAATAATAGAAAGTGGAGTGATGTTCCACCAGATGTGCAAGTGGCATGTAACATCTGGAAAGCATAATACTCAGCTAATAGCTTCCATTATAGCCATTTGGTTTGTTTCCAATGAGTGCACAGTGTTGTGTCGCTAAATTTAGGTACAGGGCAACACATCGAACAGCATCTTAGGTGTGTTCATGCTGTGTCGTGGTTCTAATTCCATGCTGTCGTTCTTTTTAAATCACAGAAACAGTTTCGTTACCTGTTTTGTCGCTACGTTTCGTCTGCGGCTGCAGACTTCCTCAGGCTGACGCTGATGGTGGCGTCATTTCCTTCTCCGTTTATCCGCGGGCAGCAGAGGACGTTGTCGCCCTCTGTCGTCAGAGAGGGGAGAGCGGGCAACAGAGGGCGACAACGTCCTCTGCTGCCCACGGATAAACGGAGAAGGAAGTGACGCCACCATCAGCGTCAGCCTGAAGAAGTCTGCAGCCGCAGACGAAACGTAGCGACAAAACAGGTAACAAAACTGTTTCTGTGTTTTAAAAAGAACGACAGCATGGAACATCGAACAGCAGTTCAGATCAAACCGGAAATCAAACAGGGAGCAGTGTAGAGCATCCGGTAACTTTCAAAATAAAAGACAGTATAGAACAGACTTAATTCATCTCACAGTGGGGAAATTCACTTGTTACAGCAGCACATACAATGAGAGAAAAGGAAGATGAAAAAAAATAGCAAAAGTGCACATAAACACACAAAAACAGTAAGCCATTATTGTAACCTTCAACCACTAAAAACAACAACCAAAAAGAACACTTGTGTTTCCAGAACTAAGCAACATAAAGGACACAGACATATTAATGTACATCTGGTATTGCACAATATTGAACACATAATGAGTATTGCATTGGTGTTATTGTGCAACGCGATTAAGGATCGGTATCGGCACCGATACGATGCAAATACCAGTATCGGTATCGGTAAAAGTTAACCGATACCAGGAACCGATACCAATGCTTCAAAAATGGCTTCACTGTAACTTGTCATTTGTGTTCACCTAATATTTTAGTTTTGTGATGATTTCCATTCATATATTTTACTTTTTATCTACCTCAGTCTTTTCTTGTGCAGAGAAGAAAATAAAATCTGTATTCCAAATCATTGCCTTTTATTTGTATTGTAGAAGGTAATTGTATTGTATTGGTAATCGGTATCGGTGAGTACTCAGATCCAAGTATCGGTATTGTGTCGGTTTGGAAAAAAGTGGTATCGTTGCATCCCTAAATGTGATAATGCCAGTACCAGTTAAACTAAGGAGTTATACACTCTTCCTACATCTTGGATGTCTCGCCCTGCCACTAAAGGAGCTGTTCATGAGCTCCACAGTGGATTAGAGTGGGTGGGAGTTTCCAAGATGGAGGTCAGCTTCGTCATCGTCCTCCTCTCACACACGTGCTGGTTTCCTAATGCTTATCTATAAAAAAGTCATTACCTCGGACACCTCCATGGCCAAGGTAAGAACAGAACGTAAAACTCAGACATTTTGGATACATGCTGCGTCTTTCTCCCAGCTTGTTGTCTCGTGAACTGGAGACATCAAGCGTGATCTTGGAATTATGTGATGTCACAGGAGCTGCTGTATGGACAGCATTTGCAGCCGCTGAGCATCTAAAACATTCTGGGTAAAATGCGTCTATTACGTTACGTGCCACTTATGTATCTGGTGGAAAGTCGACACGTTTTTATGCTGTCATGGCACCTTTACCTTCACAAAGCGGTTTGAGTCTGTTGGTTCCTCGTATCACTTCTGTCACCATGGTCTAATAAACCAGTGGTTCCCATTGGGTCTCCACAAGATTTTGGGGGTGAGGGTGGGGGGCATTATTTAGTCTGTTTTGAGATTGTGAGGTTTTCATAGCCTGGCAAACCATCCTATATGTGAATATGTAGTCTGGCTACTACCCGTTAACAGATCTCAGTCGTTGAGCAGAATCTACGGTTGTCTTTCAAACCGCCTCCACGTGTTATTGGACAACAAACAACATGATGTACTCACTGCTACTGAGGTCAGTTAACAGGGCAGTCCACCGTACATGGTTGAAGAAGACGCAAATACATCCTTTTTCTAAATAAAGGACTTAAGTACCTCTATCTGCTCTTGACTCAAAGAAAAGCCCAAGTCTAAATAGTCCAGACATTTCTAATGAGGCCCTGCCATCTTTGTTGTTTTGCTCACATCCCACCCAACAAACCGATAGAGCGAAGACACAAGACTGTTCAGGCCTGCTGAGGCTCATATGGAGCGTGGTTGGACTGACTGGCCAAGCTAGCTCTGTAGGTTGGTCTAGATTTCCAGGATAAAATTTTCAAGATTGTATCTGTAAACATTTAATTTATAAAATCCCCAAAACAGGCCAAATAGTATTATCAAAACTCTGCATAAGGACTTGAACTTTGTCTGCATAAAGTTAGTAATTAATCACTTTTAATGGGTTTATACCAGAAGGAGTTAGGGTTGGGTTGTTCTTCTCTTGTCTTGTCTTCAAAGAAAAAAAGGTTGGAAACCACTGATATAGACCATCATATAGACAATTTCTTTAAACCCATCCTGGTTGACGCAGACTCTTATTTATTTACACATAAATCTGGATTTAAACGTTTACAAATTTTTCATTTTTCAGGTCAAATTTATCCAGACTTTGGTCTGCATGTTTGCTGAATCATAAGAAGCACTGTCGTTATGTTGGAGACCATCTCTGGGCAGACCAGACTAAAGGAGCATAATGCAAAACCTTCTGAGCCTATCAAAATATAGTTTATTTTGTGTGAATCCCTGAAAGAAACGTAGCTCAGGACACATGCGATCCTCGTCCGAGAGGGGACCGTGCTTTTTCAACATGCTGAAAACATTTTTTACTTGTTATCTTTAATGCAAAGTGCATATTTAACAGCTGTTGTTGTTCTATTGTTTTAGTGTTATTTATGATTTTAGCGACTGTGTGTACAGCATTTCAGCTATGCCTGGGACTGTTGAAAGTGCTTTATAAATAAAGCTGCTGCTGAAGATGATCTGATTTCTGATCCAGTGTGTGCATCAGAATCACATCATCTGGCAGCAATATAACAACAAATCATCACCCATCCTCCACCATGTTTCACATTTGGTTTAGTGCAAAAACACGAGTTCTAATAGTGACCCCAACCTGATGTCATTGCAGCATGCTGTTGCTGTCAATCATGTGACAGATGGATGGATGCATGGATGAGTTTCTTCTGTTGTTTGGGGTTTGTTGTGAATTCATTTAAAAAACATCTCGTTTCTGCATCATTTCAACATTTTTCCCACCAGAATCAGTAAAACGGATCCAGGTCTGATGTCAAATCTCCACCTTAAGTCCTGCCCAATACTTCCTGTATGACACACGCGCGCGCGCACGGCCTCCCCTCCCCCCGCCGCTTCCTCCTGCAGGACAAAGCAGCCACGCTGCCGTTAACGGATCTCATTAAAACAACCCGAAACTCCACCGTTACCGGCTCACGCGCCACATACGCACGCATTACCTCGCACGCGCACTCGCACGCGTGCGAGGAACGCGGTCTCACGGTTTTTCCACCTGAATACCAAAGAAAAACAAACAAAAAAAAAAAAAGAAACGAGAGAACTTCCCGTTTCTGAGTTTCAGCCTCCGGTCTCCTCGTTGCGGCTCTCCTACACCAATAAAGTGATCGATGCGATCGATCAGCTGAGATGTTCGATCCCCAGCGTGTCCGCCGGACTAACGGAAACAGCGGTTCGGTGGGTTCCACAAGTGAACGAGTCCAATCCAAAGCAGACGCACGGAGAACCGGACTTTTAATTTGTTTCTTTCAGTCTCGGATCAGTCCCGGTTACTCCACATCCAATTTGAGCAATCGTTAAAGTAAACGTGCACGCGCTTGAGAGTCCGTTTTGTTTCTCTTTTTCTGGGGAACTCACCTTCAGATTGATTTCCTTCATCCTGTCGGTCCTCCTGCTCTCCAGCAGCCTGGACATCCCTTCCAACGGTCTGCCGATAGATCGATATCGATTTACTGCTCGCTAAGTGATCACTGATCAATAAATAACAATCTTAGGAATTAAGTGCTGGGTTCTGGTCCCGGAGTCGTCCGCAGTCTGAGCCGGTAGGCGGGGCTTAGGTTTGACTGACATCGCTTCTCTCTACTTCTGACGAATCAGAGCGCAGCCCGCTGCTGCTGTGCTCATCCAATCAGGTCCTTGATAGTGGTCGAAGCCGTCCCACCAACAAAAGTCAGGGAGCGCTTGATATTAATACCGCAGTAGCACAGGTGACGTGGTAGGTAGGTGTTAGTCTCTATGACAACGTGTCAACCCATCACGTGATTCGAATAAAGCAATCTGTGCTTTGCGAGACGTCACGTGAGTGATGACTAACTACGTTGTGGGGTTGCGCGCCACGTCCAATAACCCCGCCCCCTGCGGTAATACACTGAACAACATATCTCGTGTGACGTGGAACTGCAACGAGTTAACCCCGCCCATCTGATGCATGAGCGGACCATGCAGGTGACACTTTCAAACTAACCCCAGCTGCATGAGAAGACCCTGTCGATGGAGAAGACACAAAGAGCATTCTACTACGTCAATAATGTTTGAACCTATGGTTTGAACCCGTACCGAAACAAACCCGGACCTGGACCCATCCTGGGATGAGATCAGATGTCATCCTCTGAGCGGAAAAACTAACGTGTATACAATGATACATCCTGGTACCTGGCACCATTGTTACCATGACAACCAGCTATAACACGATTATTCAGAGGAGAGAGGAACTCACGTGTGACTTTGCATTGCCACCTGCTGGCATATCAGAAACCTACAGTACCTGGACCTGGTCCAGGCATCGGGACAAGTTGAATGCTCTGATGGGAAATGCATTTGTGGTAATCAAAGAAGAGCTGGAGAGCATCTCTCTGAGAAAGGGATATTTGAGCTTCCCTCCTGGACCTGTTGCCTTGGCAACACAACCTTGGATTACCAGAGGAGAATAGATGAATGGCCAAAAGACCTGAGGCTCAACTGGGAAACTTTTTATTCTCGTAAACAAAGCAACCTTTCTGCATGAAGTAAATGTCCTGATGAGTTACACCAGTGTAGAAGTTGGTCCTGGTCGCATTATACACTGCCCTGCCAAAAAATAAGTTGCCACCTGGATTTAACTAACTAAATAGGTACGAGCCTCCTATTGGATTATTACTGCACGGGTGATTGTTTTTCATCTGACAACAAGTTATTTAACCCCAACTGCTGCAATGAGTTGCCTCTCATTTCTTAAAAAATCATTTGGAAAGACACATCTTGTGGTCGTGGAAAAGATGTTAGTCTGTTTGAGAAGGGTCAGATCATTGGCATGCAGCAGAGAGAACATCTATGATCTGATGAGTCCAGATGGACCCTGTTCCAGAGTGATGGGTGCATCAAGGTAAGAAGAAAGTTTGCACCCATGAAGCGATGCACCCATCATGCCTAATGTCTACTGTACAAGCCTGTGGGGGCAGTGCTATGATGGGGTTGCTGCAGTTAGTCAGGTCTAAGTTCAGCAACAGGATGTGCTCCAAGAATGAGGTCACCTGACTACCTGAATCTACTGAATGACCAGGTTATTCCGTCTTCCATGATGGCACGGGCATATTCCAAGGTGACAATGCCAAGATTCATCAGGCTCAAACTGTGAAAGAGTGGTTCAGGGAGCATGATACATCATTTTCACACATGGATTGACCGCCACAGAGTCCAGACCTTAACCCCATGCAGTCAGAGATGCAATGATTGCATATTCTCCAAATTAATGTCACAAAGCAAAGGAAATGCCAAAGTATTGTTGAACACCATCAGCACTATAGTTCCTCCTGCTTCACCTACAGCCTCCATTCACTCTGATGGAGGCTGAAAACAACCTGCCTTTCTTGTGTACAAAGTCAATAAGGTTAGATCTAGCATATCTCCTTCAGCTTTATCTCTGCCTATTATTCTGACCCCAACTTGGCCCATGCATGTCTGGAATGTCCGCCAAGCCCTTGCTGGCTACAAAATTCAAAATGAAAGTAAACACGGGCAGTATGTTTAGCTTTTGTAAACCGAATCAACTGAGACGGCAAACTCTGGGACCTTCTTTCCATTGAAGCTGAAGCTCAGATCACCGGACAGTTCACAGGGACTTTGGAGAACAGGGTATGATGATGTCATTGCGGATGTCATTTAGGAGCTGCTTGTCAAAAAAAAACATAAGGAGCGCAAATTCAATGGCAATAAAAAGCAAGTTACGTTCAAGCTAAGAGGAATTGCGCAAAGACCATCCCCACACATCCCCTTTTGTACTGCAATCATGCAATCTTTTGTGAAAAGCACATAATCGTGCCACATTACTGGCACAGTCTGACCACCTTTGAACAATGAAAGGCTCACTAAAAAAAGTTAAAGTTAAAGTCCCATTAGTTGTCACACACACAGGTGTGTGTGTGAAATTTATTCTCCGCATTTGACCCATCCCCTGGGGGAGCGGTGAGCTGCAGACAAGCCGCGCTCGGGACTGATGCCGTCTCACCTTTGTGGCAAATTGGCAGCATCGTTTTACAAAAAGTCTCAAGTTTAAGTCCTCCCCAACACCCTCACCAATGGTGTCCAACAAGGTTATGCACTAAGGCCTCTATTGTTCCTCCTTTATCGGCTTAAATTTCAGCACATCTTCTTTAAGCCCCAAGAGATGTCTACGCTGCAGCTGTTTCACACCTCCTTAGACTACTGGATGGAGCTGCACAGTTGAGCTGTGGTTAGTGCTGTTACTTTGCAGCACAATGGTCCCAGGTTCACATCCGGCCTGCTGTCTTTCTGCATGCAGTTTGCACGTGCATGTGTATGTTCTCCCACAGTCCAAAAATATGACTGTCAGGTTTATTTATTTATTTACTTATATTATTTACTTATATTTCCAGAGGATAAAACCCCTTGAGATGCAACATCTCGTTTTCAAGGGGGTCCTCCTTTAAAGCACAGAAACAATGAAGGACAGCAAAACTATCAGTGGCATTAGCAAAAACTAAACAATGCAACCAAATAAAACCCTAAATCAAACAAACAAGAAAAAAACCCAAATAAAATTTGCTTTACCTGTGTGATTATGAGACAGAAAATGCTAAACTTAAAGACACTTACAAGTGCAACAAGATGCAACATGTGAGTAAACAGTAGTTTTGAATAATCGGAAATAAGAAATCAACCGTATCTCCAGGGGGAGTCTATTCCAGTCTACTGGAGCTTTAACACAAAAAGCTGTTCTTCCGGATTCTTTCTTGAAAGTAGGAACAACAAAAGAAAGTTGAACATTCGACCTGATTCTATACTGACATTTGACAGGAACTAAATAGATGTTTAAATACCCCAGGAAATCAAAAAAGATACATTTGGTTGATTGGTCTCTCCAGGGGTGTCAAATATACGGCCCGCGGGCCGCGTCCGGCCCGCAAACGGGTTAAATCCGGCCCGCGAGATGGTTGTGTAAACTTTATTTTCATACTTTACAATGTGGAGTGAAAATAAACTTATCTTTGTGAGCAAGTTTCCTCTGTAATGAGTATAAATAGAACAAAGCTGCGCTCAAGGCTCACACAAGAACTTGAATCACGTCCTGAAGTTGGCTGCCACTCAGGATGTGACTTCTGATGTTGATGTGCTGGTGAAAGCTAAAAGATGTAAAGTAAAATGAGTCAAATATATTTTAAGTGCTGCATGAAACTGATCTAGCCATGTGATCTGTAAGCTCTTTGAATCAATAAGGAATGTATTTTTATTTTTTTATTGATTTTTTATTATTTTCAAATTTTCAAGTACACTTCAGGTGTTGTACTTGTACTATTTTGGATACACTGTCCTCAGGCTCCAGCTTTGTTTTATATTGATTATATTAAAACAAAGAAAACAATCTGAAGCTGTTTTTAATTTACCGGTCCGGCCCACTTGGGACTAGATTTCCCTCAATGTCGCCCCTGAGCTAAAATGAGCTTGACACCCCTGCTCTAGACTGTCCTTAGGTGTGAGTGTGTACATGCATGGTTGTTTGTCCTGTGTGTCTTTATGTTGCAATGTGATGGACTGGTAACCTGTCCAGGGTGCACCCCACCTGCTTGCCTGGAGATAGGCACCAGCCCCCTGAGACCCAGCGTAGATACGCGGGTATGGAAAATGGATGAAGAAACTGGCTGGGAGCTTTCTACAGCTGAATGATGACATGACCCTCTTCTGCGGCTTGTTCCCAAAGTCAGAGACTCTCTTGGTCAGCTTGCTTCTCCAGAGATGTGGACTCGAGTCATTATTTTAATAATTTCTGACTTGACTTAATAAAATCTATAAAGATTTACGACTTGACTCGGACTTGAACGCCAATGACTTGCAACTTGAATCGACTTGCATCTGTTAACTTGATGATGACTTGAGCATATTTGATAATTTAGCACAAAATTGGCACGACGTGGACAAAAATCATAAATTATTCTTCCTTCTGCGTTAGATCTTGTACCGCTAAAAGCAGCAGCACTTCGTTTACAATCAAGCTCAGTTGCACTTTCTGCTTGTTTGAGCAAATAAATGAAGCTTTAAGAAGCTTCATTTCTGGAATGTATTTATTATCATCGTCATTAAATTGGAGTTGGACAGATAACATGATTATGACTTGAAAATTCAAAGTTAAGGACTTGGACTTGACTTGGACTTGGTTGTCTTTGACTTGGACTTGACTCGAGACTTGACTGGAAAGACTTGTGACTTAATTGTGGCTTGCAAACCAGTGACTTGGTCACACCTCTGTGCTTCTCACAACAAACCCTCTGTTAAGAATGACTTCTGATCTCTTCTGGATTCCCATGTCAGCTCTCTTGTTCGCTCTTCTTTCTTTCTTCAGCAGCAATGCTAAGCTGAATCCTATCCTATCACACTTTGAACTTGGCTGATTGACACTTAGGTTCTGCACATTGCTCCTGCAGGACGAGTTCACGATGGGCTAAGAAGCTCAGGTCAGAATCCACAACTGGGTCTGAGTTCAACAACAGAAGATGAAGGGTCACACTAGATCCTCAGATTAAGAGGAGGCTAAACAAAGTTTCAGTGCCAGTAAAAACACATTGAGTCAGTATTGTAGGTCATGATGAGAGTGTATTAACTTGTAATTTAACATTATGATATGTTCCTCACAGTACCTCACAGTAAACTGGTTTTACTTTGTTCTGAGGAAGTGACTGTGCCATCTGAAAGCAGCTCTCTGGTTGGTTCGATGTGGCTCAGCTGTATGCCAGACACAAAGACCAGTGGGCCTCCTTTATAAAGCCTGCTTATGTTGGGGTCACCTTCAAAAACAACCATGCTTTCTGAAAATATTTTGCTGAGGTGAGCTTATTTTGTAGTCAGAAGATTTTATTCAACAGCCCAAATCAGTACAGATGTGATGAATAACAACCAGGAGAACACACCTGATTGATGAATTTCCTTCTATCACCCTCCAAAGTCTTCCAAATCTCTTTAGGGGGAAACACTTCCTTTCACCTTGTCTGAATATTGGGGCATTTCTGGGGCCTGAGATCAGCCAGTTAAAGGCAACATAAGAGTGGTCAAAAGCTGCAGGTGCACTGAAGGTGCATGGTTCCAGTGGGTGGGCCAGCCTAACACCACCCAGTTAAACACTGCTCAAGGGAATCTAAATCAGCTGATCAGCCCTCATGGACTTCATGGTCTCTACAAACTCTCCCCATCCAGATCATGCCATTGGAATGATCTAAAAGAGGTTTCACTGGATCATTCATATGTGTACTAAGGAATTACACAAATAAATACACACCTTTTCACAATTCATGCACCACTATAATGATCCACAAGAGGTTGTTGTCATGCGTTCATGGCTGTTTATTTGACTATTATTACAAGTTCGTGTTTTAGAGCTGCACAAACATTGCAAAACCTAAATAATACACTGGATTTGATATTATCAGCTAATATATATATATTTACTTGGTGTTATTTCGTATTTTACCCAGCAGAGGGCGTCGAGGGTCTCCTAGATGAAAACAGATGAGGGAAGAAGATTCAGGAACGTCACTTCCTGTGGAGGGAACGTAACCCGGAAAAGGGTGTTGGCCGAAGAAGAAGAAACCGAGCCAGAACCAGAACCGGGTTGAGACATCGTTCGGCTGAAACTCCACTAAACTTATCGAGTCTCACGGACGCATTTTATTAACTTTTTTTTTTACATCAGAAAGCGAAAAGTTCCGTTAGCCGCTAATAGCTAACTGTGAGGTGAGACTCGAACTCTGGTGAAGTTTCTGAAGACAGGTGAGTCACCCCACAGGTACACCTGATGCTAACAGCTGCTAGCAAATGTTCGTGGTCGATCAGGGGTCAGTAATCAACTCGGCAACCGGAGAAAGTTAAGTTTAGATTAAAAGCTAAACGACGTTCAAGGTAAAAATAACAAACAGGAAGTTAGCCTAAGATTAAGGCATACAACTAAATAACACAAAACTAAAAGCAGGAAGTTACAAAGTTTGGTCTTTTATGCTAACCTTTGATCTGAACTATACATCAGATTAATAATCGGAACTCATGATGCAGAGTAATAATCTGGATTACCAACACTAACAAACACTGTGGCCGAGGTTTGCTGTTACCCTATCCACCATCACCCCCCACACACATTCACACAGTTACACCAGTCGGATCTTCATTTTTTATTAATCTGATTCACTTGTTAATTTGTTGGAATTTGAAAACTTCAACCGGTGACCTGTTTAATGCCACTGCCACTTTGAAACACTGTTTTCCACAGGAGAAGATGAGTGGAGGGATGAACAGCATCGATGCGGTGAAGAAGAAGATTAAAGTGCTGCAGGAGCAGGCAGAGGAGGCGGAGGAGAGAGCTGAGCGGCTGCAGAGGGAGGTGGAGAAGGAAAAGAGAACCAGGGAGGAGGTAAACTCACCTGGAACTGTCGTCCTGCAGACATGTTGAGACTTCACATGGATAGCATTTATCACTTGGTGGATTGATCTTTCCAACCCTGCTCTTTGTCTTACAGGCGGAGGCAGAGTCAGCAGCTTTGAATCGGCGCCTTCAGCTCAGCGAGGATAATCTAGACCGGGCTCAGGAGAGACTGGCCACTGCCCTGCACAAACTGGATGAGGTGGAAAAGGCTGCTGATGAGAGCGAGAGGTCAGATTACTACAGACTTCCCTTACATAGCCGTGGCCGTGGCGGCCTGCCGCGGCTAAAATCCCACCGCCACGCCTACAAGATCCCAAGTATTTTTTTTTTTGCTCCGTTTCTCGAAGAAGCAGCGGGAACTACTATGTTGTCGCTTGTGATCACAGCCGGCAGGCAGCAAGGAGGAGTAGGCAGGGCAAGGTGAAGTTACAGCATAAGTTACTGAGTTTAAAATTAGAAAGGTAGCAGTGGATATAATGCTTTTTGGTTTACATGTTTCAATAGCATTAGATAAACGAGTGTTGACGATCTTGACAGGGTTTCCTCCCCCCACCAGGCTAAGCATCACTTATTCATGTAAAATTTATTTTTTCATGTCTGACTTTAACCGCATCTAATACTGTATTACGGCGTGAGCGCAACAGCGGCAACTTAAGATCGATGTGTGAGCAGCCTGAGAGGTCGGGTGTTTCATCTGAACCCTTAAAACCTCCAGCAGGCTACGCTGCACTATGTCTCGGAGAAAGCGTAAAAACACGTTGGACGCTTCTTCTGAAGCGGGAAAATAACACTTCTTCTTAAGCAGAGCACGACGTCGCCTCGGCTCATTCACGGCCGAGCCGGTGTCGGTACAAGATCTGCTCGGGTGCAAGATCGGCTCGGGGTCCTTCGACTGCCGATGACGTCAAAGTACGGCAAACCCACTCGGACAAAATACACTACACATCTATACTGTTGGAAAGAATTTAGCAGTTTCGTTATTAAAATGTTTCTTAAGATGTAAGTTTGTGTTTATAATGGTATTTGTAAAGTAAATCACTATATTGTATTCATAATGTTGAACTCCTCTTTGAGCACATCCCTTGAAGGATCATAGGTATTAGCAACACCTGTGAAATAGTATTTGCAGGAAAGAAGTGTGTCCCGTTTGTGTTTAGAGTTTTTGACGTCTTGTCCATGTGTAGTTCAATTACGCTCATAGCTGCTAGCCAAAACTCTGGAGTTAAAAGTTTTTTGGCTTTACTAAAATACCTTTCTGTACTTATTTGATTGATGGTAGTTTTACTTTCTATTAGACTCCAAATGTAATCATTTGGCACGTTTCTAATTCATAATTTGTAATAATGTAATCGGTGATATTAGCATTAGCATTTCTATGGGTTTTTCCACGTATATTAGCATTGCGCTAACCACTCGCTGCCAAATTGCAGCCTTTGCGATTAGAAAATCTCCTTTTGTCACATCGCAATTTAGTTGCACATGCAGTTAATCGTTCAGCCCTAATATACATGCAGCTCTATGCTAAAAGTGTATTTTCAAAGAGATAATGATGGATGTCCATCTTTCCAACAGAAAGATTTGTCTGGACCAACGTAACGTGATAACAACATAACGTGATTACGTAATTCCGTAAGGATCATGTTCAGCCAATCAACTACTTTGACGTCATCGGCAGTCGACGGACCCCGAGCTGATCATGCACCCGAGCAGATCTTGTACCGACACCAGACTGAGCTCGATAACATTGACCCAGCACAGCCACTGGGTCGTTGGAGCTGCCCCATGACTGCCTGATGGAAAACCAGCGGGTTTCATCAGACTCGTAAAGTTTCTTGTTTTTGCTGAGGACCCCCTGTATTTTACCGCTCCCTCCTGCAGTCTTCCCCTATTAACATTTTAAATGATTCTGTAAATTCCGTGTATCGATAGAAAAAAATCTCTGCCTCTGCCAGCTGCAGTAAATGTAGTCTCCAAATAATAAATAAGAGGTGCATTCATCTGTGGATCTCCTTTGATCCACATTAGTGATATTTTCAGCACCAGAACAGTGAAGCAAAGAAACAGATTCCTGAGTTTGTTAGTAATTTTATTAGGTGCATCTAACCTGTTCTATTTTTCTCTGAAATGAGATCAAATTAGTGCTTCTATGGGTTGTCTCCTCTCTGCACTAGAAATTTTTACTTTATTTAGAGACGTGTCATAACCCCCCCCCCCCCACCAGCTGGACCCACCGCCACAGCAGGAAAAATTCCTAGGGGGAACACTGTACTAATTCTGCTGAATTTTCTGCTTCTGTCAGAAGAGCTGTGTGACGTAATTGCTGCTTGAGTCCCAGCATCATCTGGCTCTGACGGGCCGGGCCGTCCATGAGTGTTTTCCCTATTTACGTTTTTTTTTTTCTGATTCTGCTGTCACTTGGGATGTCTACATCTATCACTAATGCCTCATGAGGTCTGGTTAGTTAGCCATCATGTTTGTCATTCTTGATCTGAAAGTCCTGCAGTGTTGTAAATCCATCCTTGGTAGATCGTTCCACTTCCGTGGAACCTCCATACCTTATTGGACTCCGATCTTCCTCTAAACTGCATCTTGACGAGGTCCACCACACCGGTTAGGGAAGTTGTAGAAGACCTCGGTGGATCCTGTGGTCATTGGAGCACTCGGGGCTGTGACCCCCAACTCGGGGTGTGGCTCACACAGGTCCCAGAAACAACCTCTGATTTCTATCCAGAAGAGCACATTTCTATGAAAGCTAAGATACGGAGAACCCTGAATCGTCTCGGGTCTCTGGTGTGGGACCACAGCTCCCGGGTCTCTGGTGTGGAACCACAGCTCCCGGGTCTCTAAAGATAGAAGCTGAAACAGAAGTTTTACCTCAATGTGAAGGAGAAAAAAAAAACAATGTTTCTGCATAGTTTGTGACCCCACCCCCCTTTCACCTGTCTTCAATCATTCAGAGGGATGAAGGTGATCGAAAACAGAGCTCTCAAGGACGAGGAAAAGATGGAGCTGCTGGAAGTGCACCTGAGGGAGGCCAAACTGATTGCAGAGGAGGCGGATCGTAAATACGAAGAGGTAACCGAGTCTGGAGAAGTTGTGGCTTGTTTTCTCAGTTTTGTTATATTTTTATAGGAAATACATTCAGAATGATGACATCTCCAGGAGGCAGCAGTTACTGGTTTACTTCAGCAGGTGGCAGAGTTGAGCGGCAGACAGAACCCTAACCAGCAGGAAGCCAGGACAAGTTGAAGCGTTTACTTGGAATGTTTGTGAGAGAACGTCAGAGTGGAGAATGTTCCTGGCCGCTGGGCCTCTCAGGCAGAGGGTTATCAGATGTTTCAAGTGTGCTCCGGTTCAGACACGCTGAAACTGCTCGAATATAATTAGCTGTTTTCAAGATGTTGAAGTAACTGAAACAGAATTGGTTATAGAACCCAAATGTTGACTTTTGCAGGACAAGGGAGTACAAAATTCCTTTTCCCTGCATGTGCAATGTTCTGGTAAGAACTATAGATGAACCGATGTTGGTTTTCTGTTGTCGATGCCGATGACATGGTCAGCAAATGGCTGATATGTGCGGCTCATTTTCATAGATTTACAAGCTAAACTGTCTCTTCAGTAACAAACATGGATGCACAACGTTTCTGAACCTGGATCAGTTTTGAAACTTGACAATTGTTGAATCTTACTTTTGTGCACTGCTTAGTATTAACATATCAGTGTTAAAATCCAACATAGGCAATCAAACAAACATAAACAGACCAAGTATTAAATACTAGGGATGTCCCGATCAGGTTTTTTTGCCCCGAGTCCGAGTCATTTGATTTTCAGAATCTGCCGATACCGAGTCCCGATCCGATACTTTCAATACATAAAAAAATAAATAAGAAAAGGAAGAAACAGTTCCAGAATGTTCCTTATTTTTTATTTAATTACCTTTTTGTTTTAATTTTTAACAACAGATCACTTCTGTGAGGTAGCTTGAACAATCAAGTAATAAATAACATAAATTATTCACTTTTGGACTTTACTGCAAATATAAAAAGTCTAATATAAAGACAGATAGCACTTCAACCTAAAATACCTGGCAGGGGTCTATTTAGCCTCGGCCCCCAAAATGCTTAGATACGTCCCTGGGCATGGGACGGAGTTTTGAAGATGATCTGATTTGTATCAACTATATAAATACTACATGCTGATAAATTATTGCTTTATACAGGTACAAACGTATAGTGGGATCAATCTACCTACATTTTATTTTTTTTAAGAACTTTGTTTTCTTGGTTTTTATCTTCCTGTCCTGTCTGTCTCTGATCTTCCTGCATCTCCCAGTCCTCCAGAAAAACTCCTGCCTGCTTCCTTCTTTTTCACCTCACAAGTAACTTTTTAACTAGCAGATCAAATTGATCTATTGACCGCAAAAAAAAAAAAAAAAAAGGAGTGTGCGCTGCGCTGCCCGGCTGAGCCAGTGACGAGCGCTGCAGCGCGAGCGCGTCCACACGTCATGCCCGAGTCCCGATCAGTCTGAAACCACGAGATCGGATCGGGACATCCCTATTAAATACACAAAACAGGTAACTAAAAAATGGCAGTTATGAATTTAGAGCGTTTATAAAGGTGTTATTCATGGATGTAAGCATACATCATAGATGTAATTCAAAAGCAGCACCGGGCTGCCCGTGCGTGTGCCTGACTTTAAAGTGGCTCAGCAAAGAGGCAAATTGGCTGAAACCAAAAAAGGAAAGTATCAGCTGAATAAATATCAGTCTATCCCTAGTAAGGACCTAGAACATCAGAACACCCCATGAGGGTTCCTGATCAGGAGGAGATGTAAGTTGTGATAAAAAAAAAACTTTGTTGGAAGATACAAATAGCTCTTTGTCATTTACATTGCCTTTGTGATTGTTTAAGCTGACGTATGAATGAGTTAACTGCACTGGCCTAACCAGTCCCATGAGGATGTCATTGGGGTCAGGTCTACATTACCCATAATGCACCAAGACTTGCATTTACAAGGTCACCTGACCATGATGTGTTTGACAGGTGGCTCGTAAACTGGTGATGGTTGAAGGAGAGCTGGAAAGAGCTGAAGAGCGAGCAGAGCAAGCTGACAGGTTCTCAACACGCACACACACGCACACACACGCACATTTTGAAAACAGCACATGTTGACAGTGGAGTCTGAGAGGACAGGAAATAGACAAAGACCAGAACCTACAGCTGGGTGCTTTACTGGAAGCATCTGGAATAATGAGATCTGCAATAGAGGAAGAAGCTTGATCTTCCAGAGTTTTAGAAGTTAGAAAAGTTTTAAACACAGTTCTGGATCCTTCGGGGAGCTGATGAAGTTGTGCTAAACCTGGAGAAATAAAAAACCAGGCCCAGCTGCACAAAAACACTTGATCACAGACCACACCCACACTCATGTCAGTTAAGTGTGTTGTCTGATGTGACCTCTGACCTACAGCAAGTGTCGGCTGATGGAGGAGGAGCTGAAAACCGTGTTCGCCAGCGCCAAGAGTCTGGAGGCACAGGCTGAGAAGGTAAGGGGGGCCGGGTCTGAACTTCTAGCATCCACTGTGGGATTTAAAGTCACCAGTTAGTAGTTTGATTACCATGAGGGCAAAGGTCACAATGGCTGATCAGGTCATTAATGTTCATATGTAGCAGTGCAGCTAATACCAAAGTTAACATTATGCTGAACTCAGCGGTGAAACCTCAATACGTGCCTGAACACCTTTTGGTCCATCTGGCCTTCTGATTGGCTGTCTCTGTCTTGTAGTACTCTCACAAGGAGGACCGCTATGAGGAGGAGATCAAGAACCTGAGCAACAAACTCAAGGAGGTCAGTAATGGGTCACATGAGGCAGGTGTTCCGCTTACATTCGCCCTCAGTTTAAACTTCCTGTTAACGTGTGTTCCAGGCGGAGACCAGAGCTGAGTTTGCTGAGCGTTCAGTGGCCAAACTGGAAAAAACTGTGGATGAGCTGGAAGGTCGGTTTATTTAGAACAGGGGTACTCTGATACAAGAGGCCGTAGGCCATTTAAAAAAAACGACCATGAAGTTTGAGGGCCGGTCCAGGGGGTTGGGTGTGCTGGTGGACCAGATGACACAAAGAAGGTTCTATTGAGTACCGCTGATTTAGAACGTCTGATCTGGTTCATCTGCTGCAAACAGAATAGAGCTCGTGTCAGTGGGAACGTTTTCACTGTCGCACAATGGTACAGGGCTCGTTTCACAAGGAACGTTTTCACTGTTGCACAACTGAAGAGTTCATATCACAACTGAACAGGGCTCATTTCCTGGGACATTTCCTACTGTCACACTAATAGTGATTGGAGATGTTTAACCATCAACCAGGTTCTAGTCCATCTCATGACTCTGTGCTTGTCTCCTGGGTGTCCCTGGTGAACGTCTGTATACTCTGATGGTAATCCCTGCTTAGTACTCGAGTGTTCACCTGAACAGTACTCTGGACCAGTCTCAGAAGGTCCCTGGTTGTGACTGAGAAGAGCCCATTAAACGTCCACTAGTCGAGTCTGGTGGTCGTTTGTTGCTCTGACTCAGGTCTGCTGGACATTGACCCTAACCCTCCCTGAAGGAGAACTGTTGGACCAAAGCCAGTTTAGTGAAGCACCTTCTAAGCAAACAGCTGATCAGTAGTGATGTCACTGTGTCAATAGTTTTCTAAAGGATGGTTTGATTACCAGAATTGGTTTAGACCACTAGAAGCCGCATCCTTCTGAAACAGACTGTGTGAAGGTGAGTCATGATTGGTCATTCACGTTTTACTGTTTCTTGCAGACGCTCTGGCTGCAGCCAAAACCGCCAACATGGAGCTTCAGGCGACTCTGAATCAGACCATGGATGAGCTCAACTCCTGCTGAAGCTCCTCCCACTGCATCACCTGGCAGGACGCCTCAGAAGCTGTGCTGCTTAACCTCTTGCTAAATCTCGCCCTAGTCTTCCCACTCTTCTAGGGGATAGGAGGGGGTGTGGCCTCCTCACATCTCCCTCTGGATAATTCCTGATGTCACACATTCCTCGTCTTTGATGCCACATTTAAACTCTGCTTTATTTTATTTGTCCCCCCCTTTTCTACCCTTCATTACAGGAGGTGACGATGACTAACGGGGTTCCCCTCATTTATAACTAACGACTAATTCAGTGTTTCTCCTTAATCACTCATTTACTTTAACTGATTAGAGCCAATGTTCTCAGCCAATTATGTTTATTTTTCATGCTTAAATGTATGATCAGCCAATCATAGTGAGGCATTCCACTGCCAAAAAGGCTAGGGGCCAACCAGAAATGCCCGTCATGATGATGTAATGGACTAAATGTTTGTCCTGGTGATGAGGTCTTTGCTGGGATATTGTCACTTTAAACACAGTGAAACAGAATTTTGTAAAATAAAAGCACCGTATGTTGACCCAAAAGGAATCTTTGGTTATTGATGAAACTGACCAGCTTCCTATTGAAATGGATAATTAAATAAAAACATTTCCATCCAGATGTTGCTGCAAAATCCATTTAGATTTATTGTAGTTTGACTACAATTAATAAACAAATTGTAGTTAAATAACCTCACAAATCATCATAGGCAGCACCATGTCCCTTTCCGTTCCTTGTGCAGCTGAAGAACAAGGCCGAGACCCGAATTCCTCCACTTGATGCGAAGAATAGTCTGCATCCCACTGTTTCCTGTCACAAGCCATGACCTCTCATTCAAACTGAGCAGACATTCATCCCAGCTGTGTATGACACATCTGGAGCTGGGCTATAAAGCTCATTGATGCTTTCATCAGAGTATATTGATCACTGATGAAGCTGCTTCCTGTGCCAGCTTCAGGACCGGCTTCAGCTGCTCGTCCAGCGGGGGGGCATCCGCCTCGTTCGTGATGATCCAATCAAAGTCAACGCCACTGTCCAGCCCGCACTCCGACTCTGCATCATCCACACCTGAGAGACAGCAAAGACATGGGTACAATAGAATGCTTTGGGTGGATGTGGATTATTTTAGACAAACATTGGATGAGAACTTATATCAGACTTTCAACAGTTAGACTAAAAACTTTTTGCAGTGTAAACATGTAAATAAATATAAAAAGTAAAACATATATAAACCAAAGAGAACGGGTGTACCAGTCAGTTCTGATGAGCTTTAACTCTGCAAAGGGAAGAACGAGTGAGGCTGAACAGTTATGTTCCTAGTCTGGTTATTACACAGTAATAGGTGTTTGGGATGAATTGGGTGATTAGCGTGAACTTTATAACCTAGAATATTGAACCTATTTACAGTTTTAAGTTGAAGTACTGACATAAATTAACTTTTGCATTATATTCTAATTTTTGAGCTTCACCTGTTTGAGTTTATTTGTAGTTAACATCCATGTTTTTTGTCTGTGGGAGGAAACTGGACTACAAAGGGAAACCCCTCACATGCCAAATCCACACAGGAAGGCCACAGTCAGGATTTGAACCTGCATCTTTCTTGCTGCAAGGCAACAGTGCCACCATGCCGCACTTTTATCTTGTTCATTCTTCAACCACGTACTTCGTGATTTGTACCCCCAGTGATATTTTAGGTCTTTGGTAAGAATTTTCAGAGAAAAATCAGGTGGAAAGGTAAAACACACAGAGGGGAAACCTTACCTGGTGTGAAGTCCCACCCCCTCTGTGATCTGGTCGTATCTGAACACTGAACTCTGATACTTTTGGTCTGATGAGGAAACTTCGACTGGAACCAGCGCAGGTCCGAAAGCCGCCTTGCATCGCTCACCACCTGACCAATCAAATTAGATAATATAGAAAACCCCATACACATGTGGAGGGTGGGGCTTAAATTGTTCTGAATCTTGTCACTGGGGGATGCTTTGCTCTTGATGATCTGTTCCTTATTTCTCAGTTGGTCAGCATTGTTACTATGGTAACGTTGTATACACATACCCACACAGGTTCCCGAGCTCCTCTGGTTGCCAGGTGACAGAAAAAGCCGGGGTCCTTGTTCCGACAGCTCTCGCCCCAGTGGATCATGTCAGCCCGGTACCGCTCCTTGTATGGACCGGGACCCAGCAGAAGGTTTAGGTCCAGGCCGTGTTCCTGCAGAACCACCAGGGTTCAGCTGTATGGAACCATGACAACGTGAAATAGAAACAGTCATTAGGAAGATGTGGTCTCACCTGAGCATACTGCTGTTTGAGAGGTCCAGACAAACGCAGGATGCAGCACACTTCAGAACCCAAACTGCAGAAGAATTGTTTGAACTTTAAACATCATGAAGTCTATTTCCTTCACTTCTTAGTAAACTTCATTAGAAAAATCTGAGCTAAATATTCACATCAGAAAGTAGTTTAGTCAGAACCATAATTCAGAGCAGTCCAATTACGACCCTGACATTCAAATGGCCACGCCCCCTTGAGGAAGAAGGATGAAGAGAGTCTAACTTTCCTTAATAGGTCATGCTTTGTGTTTGTCACAGCAACATGTAGGTTCAGTACTTGGTTCCAGTAAACATGCAGCTCGCATCTAGACTGGCAATCAAACCTGCTGGATCACCATTCACATGTGGAGTCAGCCATGTGTTTGGAGGGGAAGCTGTGGCTCAGGGGTTGGAGTTGCTGGTTCGAAACCCAAGTGCTCGCTTCACTCCAGGGTGTGTGCGTGTGCGTGCGTGCGTGCGTGCGTGTGTGTGTGTGTGTGTGTGTGTGTGTGTGTGTGTGTGTGTGTGTGTGTGTGTGTGTGTGTGTGTGTGTGTGTGTGTGTGTGTGTGAGAGAGAGAGAGAGAGAGAGAGAGAGAGAGAGAGAGAGAGAGAGAGAGAGAGAGAGAGAGAGAGAGAGAGAGAGAGAGAGAGAGAGATTTCTGCTGCATCAAACATCCTGAATCACCAGGTCCAGTTAGCTCAGCGGTTTCTCAGATAACTTATGCAGGTTAACCTGTTCTAGATCGTTAAACTGGACAAACCATGGCCGCCCTCCAGCTAGATTTTAGCTTTAGCCACCCAAAAGATTAGATACATGACGTCAGTGGAATTTGGTTAAACTCACGGTTCTTCTCAGGTGTGTCAGTGACACCTGCGGGCGGTCCCGTGTTCGGAGAAACGAGCGAAACTTACCGATCCTGGATCAGTTGGGTTACGTAATCCTTCCCAGACTTCCGCTTCCCGCTGAAGACTAAAACCAGCTCGGGTTCGGATTCTCGGTCCTCCATCTGTCATCTAAACCGGCCCGGTGCAGCTAACGGTCCAGCCGGTCAGACCCGTGGACACCACCAGTGTTGGACACACACACCGGAACTAGTACCGTAACTCTCAGTAAACTCGGGAGACTCGTATCAGTCTCATCACAGTAAAATTCCAAACGGAGTCTGAAGTTCGGAATCAATATAAATTTAATCTGATTCATAATGGCTAACGGCTGTGGGGTGTCGGTTCCGTGCTCTGATGGGTTTTTAAAATGAGAAGATTCAGAAACACGCACCTCGGATTAGAAGAATTACGGTAACACGTGATTATCGCCAGACCTCGCGTGAGGGCTGGATTGCCGTGGATCAGGTCACGTGTTGCCGTATATAAACAAACATGGCTGCCTTCTTCTGTTGGAGCAAACGGTTTCTGAGAACAACAAACCCCAAAGTTCTGCAAGTGAGGAGCATAAAACGAACTTCCGAAGCATAAAGAATCTTTATATTACTATTCTTTTTTCTGACGTCATGCTGGAGCGAGCTAACCCTGACCCTAGTGGGAGGTTCGGGGTTGGGGGTTAGCTAACCCAGCTAAACGCGTCAGAACTAACACTTCTGTCACAACAATTCAGTCAGACCGAAGCGTTCAAACACACCTGGACTGACTCACCTAAAGTATGATACACTCCCATGTGATCTGGAACCCTAACCCAGTTCTGTGTTTGTGGGCTGTCTCAGTCATGGTTCCACAGGTCTGCTGGTCTTCAGTCCGGCTCTGCTCCTCACTCACAGCTCTTCCCTCCAGCTGAAGGAGTCATGCTGCCGCCAGAAAGCTTCAAAAACCGGGTAGTCTTCATCACAGGAGGAGGTACCGGACTGGGCCGAGCCATGGCGACCGTCCTGTCTCAGTTGGGAGCCCAGTGTGTCATTGCCAGCAGGTCAGAGGTCACCTCATCCTTATTCTCACCACACATGCATAAATTCTGATTTCCTGTTTGTCTTCTCAGGAAACTGGACGTCCTACAGCAGACAGCTGAGGACATTTGCAGCCGGACCGGGAACAAGGTGAAAATTCAGGAAGAAACCCAGACTCTGTACGTTTCTGTTTGATTCGTTCTGATCCATTAGAAACTTCTGCTTGTGTCTTCAGGTCCACGCGTTGCAGTGTGATGTCAGAGATCCTCAGGCTGTCTCTCATTGTGTGGACCAGATGACATCACTCACTGGACTTCCTGATGTAACCTTACCACCCAGAACCAGACCTAGATCTGTCCTACAGATAGAAATCAGAACCTGACCCAGTAACCAGAACCTATCCCAGATCTTAGAAAGTTAGATCTGAGATCTAGCTTTTACCTAAAATCCTGAAGCTAGCATTAAATATTTAGTTTTCAAAATTTCTGCACAAATTTCATGAGAATGTTTAGGGCTAACCTCAGTCATGTGACTGCAGTCACTGGAATGACATCACCGTGTTTTAATGGGCGCAGGTGATCATCAACAACGCAGCAGGGAACTTCATTTGTCCATCAGAACGCCTGTCCCCCAACGCCTGGAAAAGCATCACTGACATCGTTCTAAACGGGACGGCGTTTGTCACTCTGGAGCTCGGAAAGAGGCTGATTCAGGATCAGAGAGGTGACTGACTCAGAACCAATGAGGTCTAGATCCAAGATTCAAAAGCTAATTCAGAGGCAGATAACTTCTGTATTTGTGGTTTCGTTCAGGAGCCTCTTTCCTGGCCATCACCACAATCTACGCTGAGTCTGGTTCTGGATTTGTCGCCCCGAGTGCATCAGCAAAGGCTGGAGTTGAGGCACTTTACAAGTGAAGTGATGTTTTATTCACACCCCCCCCCCCCCCCCCACACACACACACACACACAGGACAGATTTAAAAACTGAGCAGAGGTTAGACTGGTGTTTGTATTGTCTTAGATCAGTGGTTACCATGGTAACAGTGTTCCTATTGATTGTCAGGTCTCTGGCTGCAGAGTGGGGGCGCTATGGCCACAGGTTTAACATCATCCAGCCTGGGCCAATTAAAACAAAGGTACTGGTCTGCATGAGTGCAGGGACCGATGACTGCTCTTGTTTTTACCCGTTTGTTTGTTTGTCCTTTTTCAGGGAGCCTTCAGTCGCTTGGACCCGACTGGAAAATTTGAGAAAGGTATGATCGATCGCATACCAACAGGTCGACTTGGAACCCCAGCAGAACTGGCGAATCTCGCAGCTTACCTGAGCAGCGACTATGCCTCATGGATATCTGGTGCTGTAAGTTTGACTGATCTTGGTGACTTTCTGTGGGATCGATGCTCCTGTGAGAGATTTGAGGTCTTCTCTGAGGTAGCTGAGGCAGTCTCTGTCTTTGGATTGTGGCTCCTTGACCTGGAAACCACCCAGCGTAAGAGCTGGAGGAGATGTGGAGAGAACAAGATCTCCTCTAACAAATGTTGGGTGGTGTGAATAATGTGACTTTTTGCAGGAACCCAACCCACTCCGTGTCTGCTATTCATCACCCTGCAAACCTGTAGAACGTTTCAACCTCTGATTCTAAATTAGTTGAAAGCCAAAGCTGCACATCAGGCAAATCATACAAAAAACACACGTGTTGCATCACACAGGAACAAAAAACACTAAAATATGACGGGTCCGACTTGGGAGGAACTTGCCAAAACCAGGAAGCTGGTGGTTCTGGAAGGCGAGTCAACCTGCTCAGGTGATTAGGGTTAGGGAAAGATCTGCTCTAGTGTGGATTTTTTACCTGTCACTTGTGTCTCCTCTCAGGTGATGCGCTTTGATGGAGGAGAGTATGTGTCAATGGCAGGGGAGTTTAATGACCTGCGCAGGGTGAGTGGAACCGATCAGCTGATCAGCCCATTGATCTCTCTATTGCTCTACTCTTACATGAACATTTGTGTTTCAGGTGACCCCGGATCAGTGGAAAATGATGGAGGCTATGATCAGAAGCACTAAAGGATCCTAAGCAAAAACTCTTTGAGTGGAACAACCAATCACATGGCTGTGTGCAGAGGCCCCACGCCCTCTGATATCTAACGTCAGCATTTTTTGAGATTGAAAAAACAATTATTTCTCTTTTTTTTATCAACAGAAAGGATTGTTTTATCAAAGGCTGTCATGTGACTTTCTGCACATGCTCAGTGTGATTATAGATCATTTATAATAAAACTAATTTTCAGTGTTGAGATATTAGTTTCATTTCCTCCGACGCTAGCACAACCAAACATGACAACCACTATGGTTCCACCTTCTGAGGAACTCACCTCAGGTCACCACGGCAACGGGAACCATTTAAACACTGAACTGTACCAAGCAGATGGATCCAACCCAAACTACACCAAACAAATCTGAAACAGGAGACGCAGAACTTAGAACTTTATTGACTAAGGAGCCCAGAAGGTCTCAGTGTGTGTTGATGTTCTGCTGCTGGCAGCGGCCGATCAGCGTAGTGACTATTTTCTGCAGAAGCTCTGCCCTCATCTTGCAGATCTCCAGAACTTCGTCGTGGTTTACCTTCTCCTCCCGGCTGTAGTTCAGAGACACCTGTGGCATGGACAGGAAACACGGTGAAACCAGCCGTTACCACTCACGCTTAGGCTGAAGATGTTCTAGAGACCTTGTTGGTGATGAGGGTCAGACCCAGAACTCTCAGTCCACAGTGTTTGGCCACAGTCACTTCAGGAACCATACTCATACCTGGACATAAGACTCAGTGACGTGTCTTCACCTGGTCACGTCAGATAGACAAAAACACATCCTCCTGTCCCCTCTAGTCTTACCTACAGAGTCACAGCCCAGCGTCAGCAGCATCCGGGCCTCAGCGATGGTCTCAAAGTTGGGTCCGCTCACCATGCAGTAAACTCCGGTTCTGATGAAGCGGCTGCAGTTGAGCTCAGAACCCACGTCCAGAACCAGGGTCCTCAGATCTTTACTGTAAGCGTCTGACATGCAGGGGAACCGGATCCCGAAGCTGCACACAGAACAAAAAGTAAAAAAGGATTTGTCGCCCTGCAGCATTTCCTGTCTCCTCTGTCTCACCGCTCGTCATTCGGTCCACACAACGGATGCTGTCCAGCGAAACCTGGCAGGTTGATGTGGTCTTTGATGATCATAATGTCTCCAACCTTAAAGTCTGGACAAATTCCTCCAGAGGCGTTTGTCACCAGCAAACATTCCACACCCATCAGCTTGAAGATCCTCACAGGAAAGGTCACCTGGGACAGAGAGACGAGGGTGTGTTGATAGCAGAATAGATAGGACAGAAACCCTCCTGATGTTTAGAGACCAGCACTGAGAAGATCAGCAGCAGCAGATATATGTAGTCATACAGATCCACGTTTGGGTAGCAGTCCTGCAGCACAAAGGCAGCATCGGTTGTAGGAGCCTCTTGGAGATGTGGTCAGATGGTCCAGGGTGTGGTTGGAGAACTAGTCAGTAAACTTTGCTTATGTGAAGACAGTTACAGTGTCATTTCCTCAGGTTACCATGGTAATGTCTTCATACATTAGTCTGTGGGCTTCAGCCATGCCAGCATGTGTCTACTCCATGCCACTGTCCTCAGCAGCGTCGTCCTGCCCAGGTCAGAGGTGACGCTCTGAGACACCACTCTTTTGTTTCTTCCACCATACCTCATCTCTTTGCTCACTTTCAAAAAAAAGAGCAATCAATCAAAGAAAATTTCAAATTCTGAACCAGAAAGTGGAGAACCGTGGAATGCCATGCCTGCGTCGTCTCCAACCTTCAGGACGTGTTTGGAAAATTAACCTGGAGTTCACCTGTGAGGAATTTTCAGCACCTCTCTAATGTCTCTGATAGAGCCAGTGCCTTTACATTTGTTCTGAGTACAACTGTTGGTGTATACAGGTGATAAAGACTCACTTGGCAGAGGGAATAGCCTTCACACAGGTGGAAGTGACCCTTCATGAAGACACAGGAAGTGTCTTCAATTGTCCCAAACACCAAGCAGCCTTCATGACCTGGAACTGAGGGAGAGTTTATTTCTTCTACGAGGACTTTCAAGTCCGGAAGAAACGTTTTGGATGAGAAGTGCAACATCTTAGACATTGTCCAGAGATATTTCCAGAGGAAAACATCTCATCTTTGTGTTTGGGGAAGTCAAACTCAACCCACGCTGAATAAATGAACTTCTAATCAGACTGAACCACGAGTGATGACACCTTTCACCCCATCAGCAGAGAAATTATTTTATAAGAAGTTGAGTAAAACTATGCTCTTTTTACATTTGTTTCTATTTTGGTCAAACCATTAGAATAACAGGACAAATGTCCGTTGTTATGGTGATGATTCAACAGCTCCATCCATTCATGAAGTCTGGTTAATCCAATCAGGTAATCAGATTACTAGCAGGTCTAAAAACATGGATGAGTCTTCATTTCTATTGTTAAACTCAGACCAGACACAGGTTGTGGGTTTTGGATTTGAGCACCTCAGGAACTCTTCCCACACCCCACCCCTCCATAAGACAAAGTAGTCCAGTTGTCTAAGGTCACCCACCTGTGCTGACGGGGAAGTTTGGGATGTCCTGATACCTGAAGGTTTGTTTGTTGGTGGCTCCATCGGCCAGCAGTCCCAGTGCCGATCCACAGATCACCGCCACCTTTGGACGGTGATTAGTCTGGTTCAGGAGCCACTCAGTGGTCATTTTGTAGTCCTCAAAGGAGCAGCAGCTGAAACGGTAAAAACAAGTTTGCTGAATCAGTGGAGATGAGACTGTTCCTGAGCATGGATCTGAGGAACGAGCATGGTGGTCTTCTGTAGACTAAACATCTTCATGTTAGAGTCATACAGAAGGGTTGTTTAGGTGAAATATTAGTGTAAACCTTTCATGTGTGATTTTGTCATTTACAGTAAGCAAGGCTAATATCAGTTTAGCATTTAGATTTATTTCTAACATTTAGAATAACTGAAATTATGTGAGATGCAAACATGGTGTTTAAATGACCAGCTTTAGGCTGTTTTCATTTAAAATGGGATGAAAGTGTGTTAAATATAGGAAAAATAAGCTAAATACTTCAAACACTGTTCAGTAAATCTCTTTTTCACTTATACTTGGCATCCCATACTGGAACGACACCCATCTTGTCTCTGTTGCCACAACACTTTATATTTTGTGTGTCAGAATGTTTTTTAAATATTCGTGTGGCTTCGCTCTGACTGAAGACTAAATAATAAAAACACTGAATGTCAGATTTAAAAAAAAGTTTGTGTTTCTGTAAATTTGTTGAAACCGAGCTGCTGTGAAACGAAAAATCTTCCAGATGAGACAATCAGTGACCTGGAAAACCAAAGTACTGTGACTGTTTCCAGTCGGTCGTCAACAGTCACACTTAAATTCATCAAGATGAAAGTAAACTGATCTGAAACCAGTCAACATGTGAAAACAAGATTAAATTAAATAAATTCTCACCAGGAGTTTTCTTTGGTGTGCATCTTGGAGCTCCAGAAATGCCAGAAGAAGATGAGGAGGAGCCACAAATCCTCTTCTATGATTGGCTGATTCAGGCTCTGCAAACGCACTCAGGTTCATTGACTCCAGCAGCGAGCTTTGACCTCAACAGCTTATTCAGCTTCAACCGGACCTCAGAGAGCTGAAAGAGTCAAATTTTCTGTAAATACAGGAAGTGTGACTTCATTGAACACACACACACACACACACACACACACACACACACACACACACACACACACACACCTTTGTGTGGATGCCTGTTAATGAGGTAGATCTGTGTGCCACTACAGCAAGAATTTTGCATACTGGTTGCTATGGAAACTGTGCTTCCTTATTAGAATTACTCTCTCTCTCTCTCTCTGTGTGTGTGTGTGTGTGTGTATGTGTGTGTGTGTGTGTGTGTGTTTTTGTGTGTGTGTGTGTGTTTGCGAGTGCACATGAAGTGTGTGCATGTGTACCTCAAGTTTATCACATGTATTTTTTGTGTGCGTTTTGTACTTTTTGTCTACTAAGGTTTGTAACCAACATCCGTGCTCAGAGATCGAAGAGCACCCCCTTCTGTACACACGTGTAATCATATTAACTCTTCAGCTTAGTTCTAATGACGTTTTACGACAAATTATTTCAGTGTGTGGTTCTTTTGTGATTCCTGTGTAAAGAAACCAGTGGCTGACACTGCAGAATATACAAACACACCTTCTGTCACTCCATCTTGTTACAAATCAGACATCCAACTATACTTCAGCATGCTTCTCCATCACAGCCCTGACTTCATGGCACTGCCCAGCACAACTATTAGCTAGCTCTGGACCCTAACTGTGATGGTTTGAAAAAATAGTCAAGCATTCCTTTTTTTCTTTGGCAAAGCAGGTGTTGAAACATCTGAAGCATTTTCTTTCTCACATTTTCTTCAGCCCTGGTCCTGGAGCCCCATCATTGTTCTGGTTGTTTTCCTGCTCCATCTGTTCAGCAGGTCCTCAATCTCTACTGAAGCCTGTTAATCACAGATTAGAATCAAGTGTGTTAGAGCAGAGAAACAACTAAAACATGCTAGAGTTCTGATGAGCGTCACATTCTCCAGTTATAGTATCAGTTTCCATCCAGGAAGCAGAAACCCTGTTTAGTTAGGGTTAGTTTAAGTTATCATGGCTCACCTCTTTAGTTATGCTGCTATAAGCCTATGTCTAGTCCCTAGACCCTTGGATAACATGTTTATGTTTATGTATTTAACAGACACTTTTGTCCAAAGTGACTTACAAGTGATAATCAGCATGTTGCCCTTAAGGCTAACAACAACAATAACAACAACTTGACATCAATCATGGAGAGGAGGGAACAAGGAGTGGACAGTAGAGAGGCGGGACGGGTGCAGGGAGGGTGCTAGTTTAGAAGATGCTCTGAAGAGCAGGGTCTTCGGGAGTTTCTTGAAAATTGAAAAGGAAGCCCCTGTTCTGGTAGTGCTTGGTAGGTCATTCCACATTTGTGGAACGATGCATGAGAAGAGTCTGGATTGTCCTGAGCGTGGTGTAGGCACTGCTAGCCGACGATCCTGTGATGACCGTAGCGGCCGGGCCGAGACGTAAGCCTTTGCAAGAGGATTCAGGTAGATGGGAGCCGTACCATCTCGGACTTTGTATGCTAGTGTTAGCAATTTGAATTTGATGCGTGCAGCTAGCGGTAGCCAGTGGAGCTCAATGAACAGAGGGGTGACGTGTGCTCTTTTGGGCTGATTGAAGACCAGACGCGCCGCTGCGTTCTGGACCATTTGAAGAGGTCTCACAGTACAGGCTGGAAGACCAGTTAAAAGGGCATTGCAGTAATCAAGGTGGGAGATGACAGTAGATTGCACCAGGAGCTGGGTGGCATGTTGTGTTAGGTATGGTCTGATCTTTCGTATGTTATACAGCACAAAGTGGCATGAACGAGCAACAGAGGCAACATGATCTTTAAAGGTCAGGTGCTCATCAATCACAACACCCAGATTTCAAACTGCCTTTGAAGGAGTCAGAGATAGGAAGTCATTTTGGATTGAGATATTGTGCTGTATGGATGGTTTTGCTGGGATGACAAGTAGTTCAGTTTTAGAGAGGTTTAGTTGGAGATGGTGGGATTTCATCCATTTTGATATGTCAGAGAGACAGTTTGATATTCATGCAGAGACAGTGTGGTCGTCCGGTGGAAATGACAGATAGAGCTGGGTGTCGTCTGCATAGCAGTGGTAGGAGAAGCCATGTGATCGAATGATCTCACCCAGTGAGGTGGTGTATATGGCAAAGAGAAGAAGTCCTAGTACAGAGCCCTGGGGTACTCCTGTGGCAAGATGGTGCACGGTAGAGGATTGTCCAAGCCAAGATACCCTGAATGATCGTCCTGTGAGGTACGATTCAAACCAGGTGTGTGCTTTCTCTGTAACGCCCATGCTAGAGAGTGTGGACAAAAGGAAGCCATGGTTGATGGTGTCAACTGCAGCCGATAAGTCGAGCAGGATAAGCACTGAGGATTTGGCAGTCGCTCTAGCTTCATTCATGGCTCAGTTGATCCATCCTGATTCAGCCTCCTGCTGATGGAGATTTGATTCAATCTGCCCGCTTCCCTTTAGTAACAAACCTGATTTCATCAGAGTTTAATGACAACTGGACCAAATGTGAACTGGTTCTGTTTAAATGAACTGAACTGGGTCAGAAAGCTGTTCTGAGTGTTTATTGGATTTATCTGAAGCTCTGATGGAAAGTTGCTGCAGATAGACAACAGGAAGTGGACTGTTACCATAGTTACTGCAGTATCATGATGACTGATCGGGAGCTGATCAGCTGGTCTGACTGCATTGATCCGTTGAGCGTGAGCTTTACGGGTTAATTAAGGATGGGGGGGGGGGGGGGGGGGGGTCGCGCAGCGCCTCCGCCACTCAGTCGGTAGGCTACAGTCGGCGGCTGATGAGGAGGAGAGTCTGACACTTAAGCGGCGGTAAGAGAAACGTATCTCCCTCTTTCATATTCCAACACCACCACCATCACAATCATCATCATCACCATGTCCGCGGCTCTTCCTTCCTCCTTCACACCATTCTGCTTGTCGGCTTTTTAAGGCCGGGTGCGCGCCTGTGTTACGGTGCTCGTACACGCTTAGACTTCGCCACATGCTTGATGAAGCTGCTGGAGCTGCCGATGGCAATGATGGTGATGAAGATGACGAGGAGGAGAATGATGTAGAAACATCCATTCGGTTAATCTTCTCTGAAGGTGTGTGCGCGCTGGCACAGTTAGATCACGCGCACTCACGCGCGCAGCCGGGATGTAAATATAGAAAGTGCGTGCGTCAGATTGGGGGAGTGACGTCGATACGTGATACTGCATTCCTCCACAGGCCATCTTCAACATCATCATCTAGTGACACGTGACTGACAGGTGAATTTTCACACCAGGCTGTCGCGTGACGGGAGCAGCACGGTTCTGATTTCTGGATGCTCAGGTGGGGTTAGGTGAAAAAGCTTCTGTCCTGCTGGCAGAAGGGACACCTGGCTGGAACTGATCACGTCCAGCATGAGAGGGATCTCATCTGCCCACTTCCTGGACCTGGAGGTGTGGAGGTCCTGAGTGGAGGCGGGTACCAGCCGACCACCTTGACTCTCTGCAGTGCAGTCTGCTCCTGTCCTCAGCAGAAAGGGGGTAGCGCATGCATATGGAGTTGAACTCAAAAACAGATAACCACGGGTTTTGGTAAACGTCTTCAGTTGCTGCAAGAACAGCATCTGCTGGGCTGGATAAAAAGGAGCTGATGTTCCGTTCTCACTGTAAACCCTGAGTGAGGGAGGATCTGTGGGTTCTGCTTTTAGAGCAACAGTGTTTATCATCAGTCTCTCTCTGATCCAAAAATATATATTAAAAATTCAATTCCCTTATTAAATAAAAAAATCACTTATTTAATGATATTCCAGTGTGTTTGTTGATAAACAACTCTGTATGAGATTTAATTAGGTTTCCTTAATGAAAGATGAGTTTAAGAACAAAGTAAAAGCCTTCCCTGCAGCAGCAGCGCCCCTGCTGGTCAACCTTGGTACGAACATTTGTTGAAATTGATCAGCAAATAAAGAACAAAAAACAGTGACCCCAGACATAAAAATTATTGGTCAGTGGCATGCTGTCACTGTTTGATTAAGCCTTGTTTTTCAAATGAGAGCAAATTTTACGTCGATCGGCTCGTGTGTGCTCTCCATAACTGTCAAGTATTGTGTGGTGTTCTTGTACAATTCCCCACTTGAAAGGAATGGACCCTCAATGTGAAGATGTAAACTGGATTCCACTCAAGAAACAGCCGTAGGATCAGCTGATTTTCTTTTATTTAACTTTTCCTTCAGGCAGTAACAGTAACAGGTGAAAACCTTAAAAGAGAAAACAAATACATATTTTAAATTGACAGGCAAATAAAACATACAAAAAATTTCACATTCAATTTTAAATTCTCTGCCACAATTAATGAAAAGGTTCTTACATGTTTACGTACACATTTTCCAACTTATTAGCATTTTAAATCAAATAATAAATGTCTGAATATTTTAGCTAAATTAAACAGTATTTGGGCTAACAAGTTTTATATAAATTTATGCTAAAAAATGACAAAATTTTAAATACAAAAGACTGATTTCACCATCACATAAGTTTTAACATGACTACCATGCACGGTTTTTTATCAACATAAAACAACTGGTGTATCTTCTAAGTTTTTAACCAAGTATTTTAGCCAAAAAAATTTTTTCCACTGGTTTCATTTAATTACACAGGTCAAATATCTATCTATCTATATATCTATATATCTATATCTATATCTATATCTATATCTATATCTATATATATATATATATATGGAGAGAGAGAGAGAGAGAGAGAGAGAGAGAGAGAGAGAGAGAGAGAGAGAGAGAGAGAGAGAGAGAGAGAGAGAGAGAGAGATTCTTAAATTTAGTGCCCAGTTTAGTTAAACTTTCATATTTATTTCTGCCTCCTTTGATAAACAAATAGTCACATTACAAATTACACCAAATAAATCAGCAGGAGCAAAGAGTCTGTTTTCCAGTCCATCTTCCACTGCAATGTTTAACAAACGAGCAAGGCAATGTGGCTTACCGGCTGTCTTTCACAAGCTTGTAGAGGGCTTGATTTTGTACAATCAGTTTGGAGCGTTGACATTTGCTGTTGTCTCAGCTTGCACTGTGTTCCTAACCAAGACAAAGGGGCAGGTCCGTCACTTTATACGTACCTGGCTCACCCAGATAACCTTGAAGATTTGTTCCGCCTGATTTTCTTCACTCAAGGTAGAGAAGGAGACCATCCAGGCAGTTTGGCAGCACAATAATGCAAGTTTCTCTGCTTTCTGGCTGGTCCCTGCTTATCTTAGGAATGCTTTACCCCCTACCCTTCTTAAAAAGCCCAATCTTCTTAATCCATCTCTAAATAGCAGCTTCAGACCCATTTCCAAGCTACACCAAACATCTAGATCTTGGAAAAGGTTGTGGCTTAACAACTCATGGCTGCTCTCGATGATCATGACATCTACAATAGTTTCCAAGTTTTGGTCTTCCACCACCTCCCTCACCAAAGGTGTCCCACAAGTTTCTGTGCTGGGGCCTCTATTGTTCCTCCTTTTTCTGCCCCCTTTCCAGCATATGCTGAGCTCTAAAGGAATCTCCTACCATCTTTTCGTATATGACATCCAACTATACATCACCTTTAAGCCCCTTGAGATGTCTAAACTGCAGCTGCTACACACCTGCTTAGACTCTATTAAAACCTGGATGGCTGGGAACTTTCTACAGCTGAACGATGAAACTTTGATCCTCATCTGTGCCCCAGACAAGCTGGTTCCCAAAGTCAGAGACTCTCTTGGTCAGCTTTCTTCTCACATCAAACCTTCTGTTAGAAATCTTGGTGTGACCTTTGACCCAGCTCTCACCCTGGATTCTCATGTCAGTTCTCTTGTTTGCGCTTCCTTCTTCCATCTCAGGAACATTGCTAAGCTGAGTCCCATTCTGTCCCGCTGTGAACTTGAGACAGTTATTCACACCGTCATCTCCTCACGCTTAGACTACTGCAACTCTCTTTTCACTTGTCTGAGAAATGCCTACCTGAACCGTCTACAGGCGGTTTAGGATGCCTGTGCTCAGCTTCTAACCACATCCTCCAAACACACCCACATCACCCTATTCCTCCTCAGGCTGCCGGTTAACTTCAGGGTTCATTTCAAGATCCTGGTTCTGGTCTTTAGGGCCTTACATGGACAACCACCATTATAGATTGGTGATCTTCTCAGTCCCTACACCCCCAGAAGGTCCCTGAGGTTCAGTGACCAAAGCCTACTGGTTGTGCAGCGCACCAGGCTAAAGACCAAAGTTGATATTTTGTTGATGTGGCCCCCAGACTCTGGAAGTTTGTCCCCCTAAGCCTGATTATTATGATTACATTCTTAAACCATGTTTATGTTTGTAAATATTTTGATTGTGCCTGTAGAGCACCTTGAGATTTTTTTCTTGAGAAGCGCTATATAATAAAGGTTTCTCATCATGGCAGCATTGCTCTCAGACCAAACTGACTTTGGTGTTTTTTTGCCTGCAGGTCATGTGACATATTATGAGGATGGACAGTCAATACTGAGTGAGCTTCCAGTTGCCTGGAGATCTGAGGAGAGCCAAAGGATCATGGGAGATGGAGGACCCCTTCAGACTGAGGGAAATGCTCTCCTCAAAGCTGTCTTCCAGGGAAAGCTGCGGCTTGCACGCCTGCTGCTGGAGGGCGGAGCCTACATCAATGAAGGCAATGAGCGTGGAGAAACGCCCATCTCTGCTGCCTGCTTGGCAACCTATGACGACTCACAAACCCGGCAGAGGATGGTCCGGTACCTGTTGGAGAAAGGTGCTGATCCCAACATTCCTGATAAGACTGGGCGTACGGCACTAATGCACGCCTGTGCTGAGCAGGCAGGAAAGGAAGTGGTGTCACTCTTGTTAGAAAACGGAGCTGATCCAAGTCTGAAAGACTACTCGGGTGCCTCCGCCCTCGTCCACGCCATCAATACAGGAGAACGTGATACTCTACAGGTGCTCCTTGATGCCTGCAAGGCCAAAGGCAAAGAGGTGATCATCATCACCACTGACACGTCTCCGTCCGGCACCAAGAAGACTAAACAATACCTGAACTCGCCTCCCTCCCCAGGCATTGTGGACAAACTGTCTCCTGCATGCATGTCGCCCTCAGAGGTGGAGATTGGCACCTCCTCACCTGCAGGAGACAAGAGCAATGATGAGGAGGGTATCTTCAGCTTTGCACTTACTTCAGCATTACCCCTACCTTCCGCTCGACCTCCAGGTGAAAAGAGGCCCCCTCCTCGCAAGCTGCTGAAGAGACTGAACTCAGAGCCTTGGGGCCTGGTGGCACCCTCAGTTCTGAGCGGGGTTCCTCCGGATCGGTTGGAAAAAGGTCTGGAAGAGGAAAACAGCAGTGATTTGAGCAGGACGACCACAGAGATGAATGGTCTGTCCATCTCAGAGCCAGTGAGACCCCTGTTGTCACGGAGACACAGCATTGAGACCCATGACCCTTGTTCCCCCAAACTCATTGATCGGTCCTGCTCTGAAGATTGTGCTGGGCTTTCTGCTACCCTATGGGCTGACAAGGTTCAGCAGCACCAGATCCTGTACAGAAGAAACACCGCTCCAGAGCCCCAAGAAAATGCTGGGGGGCCTGGGGCAGTACCAACCCGAGTTCTGGCTCACCCCAAACTCACCCGAATGGAGCATTATGAGTCAGACACCCACCTCTGTCCAGAGTCCATCCCAGGATCACCAGACTCTGGAAGGATGTCCGTGGATCGCAGAAGATACAACGCCTCCCCTTTGTCTCTTGTTACCAGCTCATCCAGGGAGTCTTTGGAGAACATCCCCAACTCTGTCTCTCCCATTGCCATGCGCAGGCGTCCCCCAGGTCTCCTGGAACGTCGAGGTTCTGGGACCCTGCTACTGGACCACATCTCCCACACCAGACCCGGCTTCTTGCCACCACTCAACATTAACCCCCAAAGACCCATTCCTGATATCCGTGGAAATGGAAAGCCCACCTCTCCAGTGCACCTAGGACACAAAATCCTGGTTCCAATGGCCCCAACATCACCCAAACGGGGTCCTGAGGTCAAGATGAAGAAGAAACTGATGAGAAGACACTCAATGCAGACAGAGCAGATGAAGCAGCTTTCAACCTTCCAGGAGATTCTCGCTGAGAAAGTTGTTGAGTCCAATGGGGATTGATGATTTTAGTGTGCAAAGCATGCTGGGTAGCTGCAATTTATTTGTTAGGGTGGATATTTACTGTGAATCAGATCACTGATGGAGTCATATTAACACCAGGTTTTGGTGTCTGAGGAGAGCTGCACCAACAAAGTTCAGATACAAATCACCTGATGGGAACAGGCCTTTTTGTCCTGTGTGGTCCTTGCTAAAGGGACATTTCCCAGCAGAAACCTCAATTCAGAGAACCAGAGAGAAATGTACCCATGAGGAATGAAGCTAACAGCTGCTCAGAGCAGGAACCATCTTGGTACCTAAACCTAAACTTTGAATAATCATTTAAATATTTGAAATAAAGTAAAGTAATATGTTATATCTCTTGTAGATAATTCATCATTAGCTGCATTTCAAAACCACAAAATTATTCTGTAAAACACACATCTTCTCTCCCTTAATAATAATAATAATAATAACAATAAAAAATAATAATAGCAATTAAATCTGCTTAAGAAGTTCAGGAGATCCTTTTCAACATGTTGCTGTGGTCATAGCCTGTTATTAGCCATCCTGTATATGTGAATATAGTCTGACGGCGCTCAGTCGTGGGGCGGTATCTACGGTATTATTTCAAGCTGTCTCCACATGCTATTGCACAAGAAACGTGACGTTCGGATGTCATTCAACGGGGCAGTCCACCAAACACTGTCAAAGAACATGCAAATTTGTCCGTTTTCTAAATAAAGGACTAAAGTACCTCTATCTGACTCAAAGAAAAGCCCAAGTCTAAATAGTCCAAAGCTGATGCCAAAGCCGCTTCAAAGAAGCCGCCATCATCTCTGTTGTTTTTCTCTTTTGCATCATCCAGCCCAAACCAATAGAGAGCCAAAGACTCCTCTCTTCCCGGTCGGCTCATGGGTCCCCGGAAGAACTAAAAATGAACGCAACTCAAAGGAGCTAGAAGAGCAATTTTCTAATCCACTTTGCCTTACGCCCTGAATCACACATACAATTCAATTCAAATGAAAATCAATGATGTGTGATTTGACCACGCCAGTCAGATGTCGCCACGTCAAAAACATAACGTCACCACATAATCTCCTCCCCCCTAGCATAGCTGCTTATCACATGGCAAGTTTTATGCGCTTGCCATGGACAAAGGAATCAACACTTCCTAAAGTTACTGCCATTTTTCCTTGTTGCTTTCTCCGCTTCTGGTTCAGTGATGTCAATTGTATTCCTGGACATATTTTCACAAAACCTAAAAACAATTTTGCCCCCGTTTGAAAATAAGCATTTTCTTGGCATCAGAATGTCTTTCAAATTCCTTCGCGGACATCATATGTAAAATCCATGGTACATAACAAACGGGATTAGAAAATAGTGTTTTTATCCCCATTGACTTGCATTCATTTATTCGTTCTTCCAGGGACCCATGGTCCGGAAGTAGATGGGTGTGACTTAGGCTCCCTGCTAAATTTGGCCCTCTAAACTGATAGGGTGCTGTGATTGGCCCACCAAACCAATAGAGCGCTGTGATTGGCCCACCAAACCAATAGAACGCTGCGATTGGCCCACCAAACCGATAGAGCACTTCGATTGGCCCACCAAACCGATAGAGCACTGCAATTGGCCCACCAAACCGATAGAGCACTGCAATTGGCCCACCAAACCGATAGAGCGCTGCAATTGGCCCACCAAACCGATAGAGCGCTGCGATTGGCCCACCAAACCGATAGAGCGCTGCGATTGGCCCACCAAACCAATAGAGCGCTGCGATTGGCCCACCAAACTGATAGAGCGCTGCGATTGGCCCACCAAACTGATAGAGCGCTGCGATTGGCCCACCAAACTGATAGAGCGCTGCGATTGTCATAACACAAAACTGCTCAGGCCAATGGTAGACCTGCTGAAGCTCATAAGGAGCGTGGCTATACCGATTTGCAGAGCAAAATAAGTTTGCTTCGGCTGCTGTCTGTCTAGATTTCTAGGCTCGCTGTTATGAGCAACAAGACAACAACCTCTTAGGTTGGAGCTGTGTTTGTTGGTGTGAACCAGCTGAAGGTTCCTTTTGGTCAAATTCAGACCTCTTGAATGTTTCTTATCAAAAACAAATGAGTAGAGACTTCTAAAGTCCTCATGTAATAAGGATTGTGTCTGCTGATCTGAAATAACAGGGTGGTTCTGTGATTTTAGGCCCCAGACCCAAGCCAGACCTTTTTTGGACCCAAAGACTGAACCTAGACCTAACCTAGATTCAGCCAGACCCAACCAGGATCCAAAAGACTAAGCTCAAACGTAGACCATGATGTGTTTTTATGGGAGAAACTTGCAGAGATGGGAATTGTGGCTTCAACAAGTCCTCTCCATGTCGTGTTTTTGTTCTGCTCAGCAACTGAACCAGGTTCATTCACTGTGCTGATTGAAATCACCTAGTTTTGTTGCTGAGAAGAACAAAAACATGACATGGAGATGACTTGTTGATACCACAATTCCCATCTCTGTAAACTTGTAATTTGATTGTGTTGTTGCAGCTCTTCTTGTTTCCTCTCTGATGAACAACAGGGTGCTCCACGTAGTTCCTGTAGACTCCTCATTTGTTCAGAGTCTGACACAGGTGTAAAGAGACATTAGATGACTTGTTTGATGTTTACAAATGCACAATTTGCACTGAGGTTGTTTCCATAGATCTTCTGATGAACATTGTGCTGCAGTTTTGGTTCATCGCTCATTGTTCATTTTTGAGTTTTTTGTTTTCAAAGCTCTGAATGGAGCTATCTGCTGTGCTGTCTGCACACACACACACACACACACACACACACACACACACACACACACACACACACACACACACACACACACACACACACACACACACACACACACACACACACACACACACACACACACACTAGGGCTGTCGCGATTGAGGAATTCCCCCTGTGGTGAGTCAGGGCAGCTCAATATTGCGATATGCGATATTATTGCACCTCGTTTTTATTTATGTACTTAGCAAATTTGTTTGTTAATTACTAAACTCATGGCAATATTTCCTTTGAAACATTGTGCTTACACATTTAAAAAATGTTAGAAAAAAATACATGGCCATTTTTAACACTTTATTGAATGCAGATCAAAGGGCAGTAACGGCATTCTCTGACTGAATTTAAAAACAACATTCAGGAGGTTTAACTTTGAAATGGAAATTTGGCTGCAACATCTAACAGAAATAAAATAAAGTGCCCTACTATCTCCTCGATCAGCGCGGACTTTACCTCTCAGCATGCGCTGTCGTGAGATTTAATCAAGTGCGGTAATTGCGGTGGCACGTCATGCAGCGCGGTGGGTTTCTTAATATCGCGATATATTGTTCTTGCGATTATTGTGACAGCCCTAACACACACACACACACACACACACACACACACACACACACACACACACACACACACACACACACACACACACACACACACACACACACACACACACAGACACACACACACACACACACACACACACACACACACACAGGTGAAAACAACCTGACAGCCTCGTCTCTTCCAGCCCAGTGCTGAGCAAGTTTCTGTATATTTTCTGTTGAGATGAAGTTTAATCAAACGTCGGCTTATTGTTTTAGAAATCCCAAAGAACTTGAGCAGATGGTTGAAGATGAAGCCGGCTGAGATTGTAAATATGCTGCACAAAGATTCTGCTGTCCTTTGTGTGAATCATCCAACACTGTCGGATGCTGCAGGACATTTCAAGGGTAGAGAACCGGTCCAGACCAAGCTTCGTCTCATCACTTGATGTTTCAGAAGTTTATAAAAGTTTGTTGTTAATAAATTATTGATAAAGTTCACTTAGACTGCATTCTGTATTATCTCCCCAATCCTAACCCTAATCTCTATCCCTAATCCTAACTCTGCTCTCAACCCAAACCCTAAAACTAATACTAAACCCCTTAAATCCCAAGCTGTACCTTCATCCCTGCCCCAGTTTTGCATGTACTTCTAATTACTCCCCTAATCCTAACTTAGTCTGCTAGTCCCTAATCATAAAGCCCAAACCTAACCCTGCCCTCATTGATCAAGATCATGCCAGAGAGACCCCAAGACCACCTTTGAATCACCAATGCACCACCATCACACTACCCTGAAATCACCTTCAGACCATCTTCAGATCACTTTTAAATCACAACTTCACAAAACCACCGTTGAACCAGGCCAGCCACCCAATCTTCATTCTAGTTTTGAACCACTGACACAAGATTGAGATTTTGTTGAACATTTCAACAGGACCTGTTGGAAAGTGTCTTAATCTAGACAAATTTGTCCAAAAGCTTTGATGTTCATCAGTCCACGGTAGGTCAAATTGTCTATAAATGGAGAAAATTCAGCTTTGTTGTTACTCTCTCTAGGAGTGACCGTTCTGTAAACATGACTGCATGAGCACAGCGCAGAATACTCAGTGAGGTGAAGAAGAACACTAGAGTGTCAGCTAAGACTTACAAAAATCTTGGGCATATGCTAACATCTCTGTTGGCAAATCTACGATATGTATACAGGAGGACACCACGGAGGAAGCCGCTGCTGTCCAAAAAAAAAAACATTGTTGCTTGGCAAGTTTGCAAAAGAACACCTGGATGTTCCACAGGAAGCTGGCCAGATGAAATCAAAGTTGAGTTGTTTGGAAGAACCACACAACACTATGTGTGGAGAAGAACAGGCACAGCACAGCAACACCAAAACCTCATCCCAACTGTGATGCATGGTGGTGAGGGCATCATGGTTTGGGGCTGCTTTGCTGCATCAGGGCCTGAGCTGATTGTTGACATTGAAGGAAAAATGAAATCTCAAATGTATCAAGACATTTTGCAGGATAACTTATGGCCATCTGTTTACCAGCTGATGCTCAGCAGAAGATGGTTGATGCAACAGGACAACAACCCAACGCATAGAAGTAAATCAACAACAGAAAATGCACCTTATGGAGTGTCCCAGTCAGAATCCTGACCTCAGACCTCAGACACACCAGACATCCCAAGAATATTGCGATACTGAAATAGTTGTGTAAAGAAGAATGGTCAAGAATTATTCCTGAACGTTGTTTAGGTCTGATCTGCAACTACAGGAAACATTTGATTGAAGGTTTTGCTGCCAAAGGAGGTTCAACCAGTTATTACATCCAAGGATGCACACACACACACACACACACACACACACACACACACACACACACACACACACACACACACACACACACACACACACACACACACACACACACACACACACACACACTTATTCTACCTGCGCATGGTGTGTTAAAATACACATAATAAATTATTTGTGATATATATATATATATATATATATATATATATATGTGTGTGTGTGTGTGTGTGTGTGTGTGTGTGTGTGTGTGTGTGTGTGTGTATAAATTGAAGTTAAACTTTATTATCCTGAAGGGACATTTGTTGCAAAGTCAGCAGTTATATATGTATAAAAAGGTAACACTAGTTTTTAGAGTCCTCTCTTGCTGGAGTCTACAAGAGTGATGGGACAATTTCCTCAGTTTATCAGTTTTAGGTGGTGTCCTTCTGCATATCCATCCTGATATGATTGGAAGAAGATGAGATAAGAGCTTTGAAAATGTAAGAATTGGCTCAATAAAACACTCATGAAAACAGGTGCAAAGTGCAAAGTTCCTGACAAGAGTGCATACGCTGATGTGATTTCTTTACAACTCAACTGTTTTGTTGATGATCTTTACTGGAGGGATCAAGGTGGGGATTTTGATAAATTCAGTGTGCATATATTTTTTATGTTTATGTCTAAAAAGCTAATCTCTAGAGCAGGTTTTTTAACAACATAATGGATCAAGGAAATTTTGGGTTGTACAAGGACCAACACCCCATTTAACATCATGAAAGTGTCTAGCTCTTTCTGTATCTAAGGGTGGAGTCTGTGACCACCTCCTTTCCTGTACAGCTTTTTTCATTAAATGTGTTTACAAAAGCCTTGAGGCAATATTGGTCTAGAACCAAGGATTTCACTCTCAGGCTTCCCCTGGTGATCTGGTTTAAGGTTCCGCCCCCAGCTGGCTTACCCCATCACGCACGCAATTTTTGACACTATGGCTGTTTCCTGCTATTGTCCTCTGCACTACAACACTTCATATTCATCCTGCATAAACTAATATAAATGTGTATAGATTCATAATTGTAAATGATGCTTATCTCTTGCACAAAGCCCATTATTCTAGAAATGATTGCCCACATGATCCAATTAACAAAGGGGCATCTGGCATCAGTCCTCTGTTGCCACGACGCAGAGTCGATGCAGGCAGGGCTGAAGGCGGGATTTAATCTGGGGCAGACATTTACTGGAAAAGACATTAAGTGACGTAGCTCACATAATGTGAAAAACACAAACTGATAACCAGTTCCTCCTTTAGAAACAGCCGGATGCTGGTTGTGCCACCTTCTGCCATCTGCTACTGGAGCTGATTTAGAGGAGAAACCGTGGCATCGGACCGATCAGGAAGCAACTCTGAGATTCTGCCGCTACTCTTCTCTTCTCACATCGAACATGTCAATCTCTTCATCAGCAACAGACAACTTGATAGTGGTGGCACACATTCCAAGAAGAATAAACTATGCTTTACCTTCACCCGATGGGACAAGCCAGGGAAATACTTGCAGCCGACAAGTTCCTTTGTGTATCGGGGTGAGACTCTTGTCATCATCAGCTGGTTTATAGTGAGGTCATTACTAAGCTTACACTTGTTGATGATTTGAAGTGGATAAAAAGCGATCAAGGCTGATGTCAGGGCTCCTGCCCCCCCAATGAGTGTTCTGATGATGTTTTTGTTTGTGGTCAACGATTCTCGTCTTAGTCTGTTTCACCATCTGTTCTACAGGCAGCACAGATCATCGTTGCTTTGGTCTTAATTGGACTTGGGTCCTTCTTGGCAACTCAGTTTGAATCTCTGGTTTCTGAGTCTTATGTGTTTGTCTGGGCTCCGCTGATCGTAAGTGGCTTCACAAGCTCCTCCATTATTCTGTTTCCTGGTCTCTCAACCTTTGTTTCTTACAGTTTATTGCTGCTGGATGTTCTACAATGGCTGCTGGTTGGACAGCAGAAAGCTCTCTGGTCAGTAACTCTCCACTGTTGCATCCCTTATGAACACGACAGGTGTGCTGACCCGTCTTTGTCATGCAGGTGAGAGCAGCTCTCAGGATAAATGTTGCTGCTGCAGTGCTCTCCCTCATCACTTTCATCCTCTACTTTGTGTGGATCGTATTAAACAACAACACAGATCCTTTTACAGATAAGGTGAGACTTAAGTTTTTGCTTTGGACGTTGCCCCAGGAGATTCTAGGTATCTCCAGAAGACACGTTCCTACCCCAATCAAAGACTTTAACCACAAAGAATAATTTAATTGTGTTTCCTCTTTCAGTCTTATACAGGGCTCCTGTTCATGTCACCATTATTACCCTTCTTGGAGTTTATCTTGTCAAGTTTTGTTGCACAAGGCTGTTGCAGAAACTCATGCACACTGCAGGTTGGTACACACACACCTGAGCGCACAGATGTTTACTCGGGGCCTGTTGCAGCAACAAAATGCCAGTAATAGGAACTGTTTCTTTTTACACCATTTTAAAAGTAAAAAAATGTAATAATTCATTTTTAATAGATTTAACATCTTCTGTTACATTTAATATATCATAAAAACAAAGTGATCTATAATTGATCTAATAACTGATACAATTCATTCTTAATTACTAGGTTCAAAAGAATAAAATATAAAATATATCGAAATGCATTTTTAGACATTCTATAACAACCCTGATTGCCAAATTTTACAGAACAAGTTCTGCTTTGTTTGGGGCAGCAGTAGCTCAGGAGGTAGAGCGGGTTGCCTCATGATCGGAAGGTCATTGATTCCAGCTCCTGCCAGGGGTATTCTGCAGTTGTGTCCTTGGGCAAGACACACAACTTGTCTGTGTTGGTGGTGGTCAGAGGGGCCGATGGTGCCAAATGGCAACCTCGCCTCTGTCAGACTGCTGCAGGGCAGCTGTGGCTACAAAGTAGCTTACCATCACTGGCAGTGTGTGAATGTGAGAGTGCATGAATATGTCTTTGAGTGTCTTAAAAAGCACTGTATAAGTTTGATGTATTATTATTAGTATTATTATTGTTGTTATTTGTTCAGAGTGGAACTGGGATGCTCAATGCTTATGAATCTGGCTCAGGAACTGGATGATGTTAGTTGTGAACTGGTTCTGTCTAAATAAAATGAATTGGACTCAACCAAATATGGAACCATTTTGAAAATCTTTGAGTTTGGTACCACAGGGTCAGAACTTCCTTCAGTGACCCTTTTCTTTAATATGTTCTGACCCAGCAAGTTGGATCTTTGACATATTTTCTACTTCCAACAATTTGAAGGACAAAGTCCACTTACTGCCAGATAGAGGCCACTCACTGATGGCTGCTACGGTAACCAAGGATGTGTACATGTAATTGGTCATAATGTTGTTTGTTGTTAACCATGGAGCTGTCAGACGACCAGCAGGCTGCATCTCTGCATCCTCACCTCCCTGTGTGACTCATGACGATCTGCATTACCTGTGACTGAGTAGCACGAAACAATCAACTAACTCAGTAATCATTAATCAGACCAATCACACCTAAGGAACTGATCAGCGAGCTGCTGGTGTCTAAATCAAATCTCTGATCTTTGTGTCTGCAGCCGAGCCTCACCATTGTTGGACAGCTGCATGGAAATACTTCCGAACAGGCTCCGCCCCCATATTCACCATAGTGGCTCCACCCCCATCTAAGGTTTGTTCTGCTGGTGTCATACAAGTCATCATTCCCTGTAAAATGAGTTTTTTATTATTATTGTTGCACAAATCCGGTAATCATGAAGTGCTTTGAGAAAGTAGTTCGCCAGCACATCAGACTATCTCCCCCGGGACTTTGATCCTTACGAGTTTGCATACCGCTCCAAAGAAGACTCCATCACTGTAGCCCTCTACTTGTGCTGAGCCACCTGGAGCAGCAGCAGAGGTACTTCCGGATGCTCTTTGTGGATTACATCTCAGCTTTTAACACAATCATTCCTGACATTCTCATCGACAAACTGGTCGCCATCAGACTTGCCCCTCTCACATGCGACTGGAAAAAGGACTTTCTTACCAACTGACTCCAGACTCTGACCCCACCTCTCCTGAACTCGCACAATGAACACCGGCTCCCCACAAGGCTGTGTGCCGAGCCCCCAGCTCAACTGTCTGTACACCCACGACTGCAGTCCAGCCCACAACAGCAACCTTGTTGTTAAGGTTGCTGATGACACCACAGTGGTAGGACTCATCCAAAAGGCTGATGAGGCAGATTACAGAGAGGAGGTCCTGAAGCTGAAGTTGAAGTTTGAACATCAAGAAAACTAAAGAGATCATCACAGATTTCAGGAGGCACAGTACAGAATTAGCCCCCCTTTTCATCAATGGGGAATGTAAGGACCCGCTCCACACATTCTGGTTTCTTGGCGTGCTCATCTCTGCTGACATCTCCTGGACAAACAACATCACAGCTGTCCTCAAAAAGGCTCAGCAGCAGCTACACTTCCTGAGGGTCCTCAGGAAGCACAACATGGACTCCAACCTGCAACTGACCTTCCACCACTCATCCACTGACAACCTGCTGACCTATTGCATCACAGTAGGGTACGGCAGCTGCACCGTGACAGACAGGGAGAAGCTTCAGAAGGTTGTGAAGGCAGCACAAAAGATCACCGGCTGCCCCCTACCCTCCCTGATGGATATTTACACCTCTTGCTGCCTCAGCAGAGCAAAAACATCATCAAGGATGTGACTTGTTTAACCTATTGCTCTCTGGGAGGCGCTACAGGTGCATCACAACCAGGACAAACAGGCTCAAGAGCAGATTTCCCCCCAGAGAGCCTAAACCACTTTAAACTCCCACATGCACTAACACTATCCGACTTCAGGTCTCCCTTCTGCTTATCAATTTGTGGAATATCCAATATCTATATCCTCTTGACAATAACTGCAATACCCATTTTAGCACAACTTCACACCATTTGTTTATTTATTGTTTTGACTGCTTGTGTTTGACTGCACTGAAGAACTTGCTTTTAATCTCAATGTACCTGTGTATTGTGACAATAAAAGACATTCTGTTCTATTCTAATTTAGTTGAATGCTACAATAATCACTGAGCTCTAATAGACAAAAGATAAATGCCTTTTGTTATCCTCTCTTCCACAGTTGGCTTGAAGTGTACAGACGGACATTAATTCAATTCAGGTTGAGTTAGGGTTCAAGCTGGTGCCATATTAGCAGAGGTGTGTACTCGAGTCAGATTTGAGTCGTTATTTTAATGACTTCTGACTTGACTTGATAAAATCTATGAAGACTTATGACTTGACTTGGACTTGAATACCAATCACTTGCGACTTGAATCGACTTGCATCTGTTGGCTTGATGATGACTTGAGCATATTTGATATTTTAGCACAAAAGTGGCCCAACATGGACAAATATAAATGATTCTTCGTTCTGGGTTTGATCTTGTTCTGCTAAATGCAGCAGCACTTTGTTTAGAACCAGTTTCAGTTGCACTTTCTGCTTGTTTGAGCAAACAAATGAAGCTTTAAGAAGAATTATTTCTGAAATGTATTTATCGTTGCCATTAAATTGAAGTTGGACAGATGACTTGATTATGTCTTGAAAATTCAAAGTTATGGACTTGGACTTGACTTGGACTTCTACATTATTGACTTTAGACTCGACTTGGACTTGGTTGTCGTTGACTTGGACTTGACTCGAGACTTGACTGGAAAGACTTGTGACTTGCAAAGCAGTGACTTGGTAACACCTCTGCCTTTGGGAAATGCAGCATACAATTATTGGCACTGTTATTTCTTCAGTTAAATAACATTTTGGTTACAACTCTCTAAAACACAATGAGTTGCTTAGCATTTCTGTCCAAAATAAACTTTGCAGAGTCTTCATCAGTTTTGAGCCTTTTTAGATTACAAAGCTCCATCTATCTTTTAAAAGTAAGAAGCAGAAGACAGTAGAGGAATCAATAACTTCGATACTGGTTTTGGTTGTTACCTTGCAAATGTGCAACTTCTTCTACCGTCACCCCGTAGTGCACGCTGGGGAGTGGAGCACATTCTCGTTGAGTGACAGCTCTCCCTTATGGATACGCAAATAAGGGTTGGGTTAATTTCCTGCATTTCAATATTGTGTTAAATTAAAAGTATTTAATTATTTTTCAACTAACAACTGAAATAAGTGAGCTTTATAACCTAAAAATATTTTCAATTAAATATCATTATCATCAAATAGCAAGAAGTGAAATGTTTGGCCTGGTTTGCTGTTTTGTTTGAACCCAGTGGACCATAATAATAATGATAGTAATAATTCCACCTGGTGGTTGTGGGCTGAATTAGGATTTAATGATAGCCTACCTAGCTGATGGATCTCCTTCACTAGCCATCTAACTGCATTAAAAACCTTTGCAACAACTTGTCCTGGGACATTTATCATCTCCTTAGGAAACTGTGTGTGGGGCAGATAAGGCAAACAAGAAAACCATCAACCACTAAACCAAAGCTTCCTCCCAACTTTTCTTTAAACTGAATTTAACATAATTTAATGACCTCTTTGGCCATGAAACCCAATAATAAAATTTAGCAGGAACTGCAGGGTGACATCAGCATGATGTTGCAATGTTTTCTCTTTGTTCTTTCATTCATTTTCATTCACCGTCTCATTGTGAACTCCTCAGTGTCCCAGCAAAAGGAGGAGAGACAATAGAGACAATCTGAACCCAGCTTGGCAGACATCACATACACTGGTTTTCTGTGCATAATATTGCATTCAGTGTCTGATTTGAGGCTTGTTGATTGGTGCAGGGTTTGGTAAATTGAGTGCTTTAATATATATATATATATATATATATATATATATATATATATATATATATATATATATATATATATATATATTACCTCTACTTATGAACAATTAGCTGTGATACTCTATCTAAATATAGAATATCAGCCCTACTTGGTCTTTGTGTGTTTATCAGAAGATTCTAGGATTCTTTGTTTATTAGCGGATCGTACACACTTCAATTTGATTCAGAAAACAGTCAGGTTTATAAAAGTAAGAATTCATTTTACAATTAAAACATGACAGGTTAACTAACATTTACTCTGACTGGATGGAGCCAGATGTGATGTAAGACACCTATGTGTGAATGCGATGTGGTCAGAACTTCCATATCTAGGAGAGCTGAGTTCTGGATGTAAAAGAATTGCGTTAAGCTATGAAGTTGATTATTATCAAAAACACATCAGACGCAATCCGTCATGTCTATACACCCGCTCGAAGATCCTCACGATAGATCCGGAATGTCGAAGTCCTCGGACTTCCAGGCATCGAGGTCCGTAGAAGAAACTGTGGCGCTACTAGACGGGTCTTAGAGTTGTCTCCAGGTCACAACAGACGGATGGAATCGCACGGCTGGCGGACTCTTAAGGAGTCTGAACAATATCAGCTTGTTCTGCAGGAACTGTTTGTGTTTCAGCTTTGCAGGTGTAAAAAGGTTTTGACGGCGTGTCAAAAGCTTTGATGGTTAAAGAGACTTTTGCTTCAGGTGGCCGGTCTGAAGCTTTCTCAAGAACTGATGAATCACTAGAGTGATCAGTTTTAATGTTCTCATGTTATGATTTGTGTAGCCAACCAGAGGTTGACAAGTTTGAGGAATATTACCAAGAGTCTCAGAAACATGCCTTCCTTGATCCAGAGGCTATGATCTGGGGTAAAGGCTGTTTATGTGTCACAAGTTTAACTTAACCTTACTTTGTTCTTGTGTGAGTGCAAGTGGTGATGACCTTGTCATATCAACATGCTGAAACATATTTCAATCACTGCAATCATAACATTAATTTCAAACTTCAATTGTTAATTAATGAAATATTTCATGACATTATAATTACTATAAGTAGCAATAAACAAACGTTTATTTAATGATTATCTAGCTCATCAGTTTTAGAAGTTCATATTTAATTTAGGAAGTCATTCTTTGATTTAGCAACTGATCCGAGCTGCGAGTGTTAGGCATGAAGAATCCTGTAGGGTGATTAGGATGGACCATGAGGAGAGAACATTATTGTTGAAAATTCATTATCTGTGTTCAGAGCTGCAGAGAGGCTCTGAGTTCCAGCTGATAGGATGAAGGCAGGCCAATTTAAAGGGAACACGTGCAGTCTCGTGTCTCCTTTTTGACCAGATGTTGAACGGTCAAACAGTACCTAAAAACTGACCACTGCTGGACGTTACATTGGGCCAGTCACACACAAGATCCATCTCTCTCTCTCTCTAGCATCTGAGCCTGACTTGGTCTAGCCAATTAACTCTTAATTCGTTGTAATTTTATTTAAAAAAAAAGGATGTTTGCTGATTCCTTGTCTTTTCTTTAGATTGTTGGTGTCACTGTAGCCACTGGGACTTTTGAACGTGAAAACAAACAGAAAAGCTGCATCTTCCTCGTCGTTATTCACTAAAAAACTCCTCAAAGTTCAAGAGACAGAATGCGGTTGGGCTGGCATGAACTCATCATTGGCTGCAACCAAATCACTCATGCTAGCCGGCCCGTTTGATGGTACTGGTAGCAATAATTATTTTAGGGTTACATGCTCTGTGATATTCTAAATTCAGCTGTTTACTTAAACTTCACATTACTATATTTGTTGTCTTCTGCACAAAACTTCTGCTTTATACACAAAGGGGGTAAAACACACAAAAACCTCACATAAACTAACAAAAGACTCTTCAGAGCCAGAGGAATGTGAGGGGACTGAGCTGTTAGCACTAGACTGATGGCGCCGAGTGTGTCAAGAGAACAAAATTCAAGTATAGTGGTGATACTTTATCAGCATTACCAAAAATGTGTGGCTGCAGCTACAACCATCACACTAGTTAAAAAAAACAGAATTATAGATTATTGATCTTCCACAGCCCTTTCTGCAGAGCACACACCACCAGAGTCCACAGGAGGACCACCTCCATCATCAGAGACTCCTTCTCATAGCGTGGACCGTTCACACAGACCTTCGGACAGGAGGCACAGGAGCGTGAAACGCACTCTTCCTTTCCCACAACCACAAGACATGAATAGATGCACCGTCACTTCTGTAGTTTATACTTTTGCTTATTTATTGTTTTTGCATGTTACCCTTTTACCCTATACTTGATTATTCTTTGGCATCCAGTGTGGGCAGAAAAATATGAATTTCACTGTGCAGGAAACATTTCCTTCTGTACTTATGACAATAAAACGGTGAATCAAATAGTGAACACAGAAGCTCTACTTCCTGTTTGCAACACCCTTCAGCCCCACAGTCTGGCTCTCTGATCAGTTCTGGATCCCTTTGTTATTGTGGTGAGAACATGTTTCTGTCGATCCACGAGTGTGATTGGTCACCACCAGACTGGATCTAGAGCCAGAAGACCTCACAATCTTTTCATCATCTGATCAAAACTCCGCTATTAGATGGTAAGTGAATCCAGGCAAGTCTAGTCAGAACCAGAACCACAGGTGAAACTAAAGACACCTCTCTCACTCTGAAGAACATTTGACTCAAAGTTTCATCTTCATTTTATTAAATGCAGAAGTAGATATAGTGTTATAAAACAGCACACGTAGTGAAGGAAAATCAGATGAGTGTGTAAACGAGTTTGTGTTTAGATCTGATTCAAGACCAGAGTTCAAAGCTCGGCAGGGAGAGAACTGGATCTGAATCAGCATAAAAACAGTTAGGAAAAAACATTAAAATGAACTAAATAGTAAAAAATGATATCAGAAAATATGTTTCAGTGGTGAT